ACGTGATAGGCTTACTTTTGTTTTGTATTAAATGCATCAAATGACTCCTCGGTATACAGTGATATGCGAGTCACTTCTCCTTGAAAAAGCTGTTTGAAATTGGTCCCAAACCAAGACGAGTTCGTCCCAGCGTGTGATCTACCCGTTTCGTAAACTTTGAAGAGGGTCGAGATGGAGAATACAAAGAAGAATATCTATGCCGATGTGGTTCCTCGCTTTCCAGAGCATTTGCAGAAAACGATGAGTAAGCTGCCCCTAGAGACACAACAGCGTTTATATCTGGACATTTTCAAGCCACTGGACTTTTACGAACTACTGTTTGAGTACTTTAAGGAAAAAGATCGCGCGCAAAACTCCAGCGACAGTGAAGATAAACGTTGAATGTTGTTATAAAAAGGAACACTAAACCTCTGTAATGAGAAGTTTGCCCAAGAGAGAGTGAGAGTGTTAAGTTAACACGGTTCACTTTTTGTATGACTGATTTCCTTTTACACAAATTCATAAGTACACTGAAATTGACGACTGTGCTCCTCAGATGTATAAATTATTGCTCTCCTTCTTGTATACTTGTATTTTTGTCAGTACAACGATGAAATTGTATTCGTCAGATATTGTAAGATATTATAACAGCTTTTTGTTTTTATCTGTCCCTTACTATGTATCTTGTAGCTCAGTTAGTTGCATACTCCGTACTTTCTTATTTCTGTTAAAGCAAAGAGCATAGCTTCAAAGATTGCACTGTACCAGTTCTATTCGTCAGATGTGTTACGTTGTAGCACTGTTGTTGTATTTATTTTTTTTGTGAGTTTGAAGTAAAGATAATTTTAACGCATTTTAAAAAGGTTTTTAAATAAGGTATTTTTGCCCGTATTCGATGCGCAACCTTCATTTGGTGTTTGTTACTTCGCTATGAATGTATGGACGTTTTTATAGGTTTTTAGCCAGAACCATTTTCCAGCTGTAATGGTCAAGTCCTCACCTTTCCTTTATTTTTCTTTTAAACTTGGAGGTACAAGTGCTGTGTAAAATGTTATGCTGTGTCAAAAAAAAAAAAAAACATAAAAAAAAACACCGGTTAGAACTCTCTTAAGAGACACGCAAAGTTCGAGTTGTATTAACTATTTTGAAGAGATAAAACATTTTTAATACCATAAACTTCCAACAGTGTTAGGGAACCTATTGTATCGTGAAAAAATTGTGCCTGAGAACGTGTATAAACAAGAATGGTGCATGGTCACCAAAAACGTGACTGCTCCGACTACAGTAGATTTAGAATCACGTTTCCTGCAAAATTGTGGCTGAGAACGCGTTAAAACAAAATGGCCAGTCAGCAACAACGTGACCGCTCCGGCTACAGTAGATTTAGAATGATGTTTACTACAAAATTGTGCCTGAGAACGTGTTAAAAACAAAATGGCTTCACCATCAACGTGACTGCTCCGACTACAGTAGATTTAGAATCACATTTACTGCAAAATTGTGCCTGAGAACTTGTTAAAACAAAATGGCCAGTCAGCAACAATACAGTAGTGAAAATGAAATGGTCGTTGAAAAACATCAGCGAAAGAAGAAAGAATTGGCTTTGAAAAAATTACAAATAATGTAATATAGGCTAGTGGCAAATGCAAACATTACAGATGCAAATGGTTTTTATAATATTACAGTAATCACACCTTGGTGCACAGATTATTAGAGAATACAGAGAGTACAGAGGGAGGGAGACAGAGAGAGAGAAAGAGAAAAAAGGGAATTAGTGCTGCACCCCTCGGTGTAATTTTCATTTTAAATGCAATTAGGAGAAGTGAACACTGAGAAAAATACTGCTGAAATAGAAAGGAGAAGTGTGACGTCACGTTACCATGGGAGCAAAATTTCTCGATCACAGCAACATGAAGCTAAGCAGCGATGACGGCAACGGCAATGAGAACGGCAGAAAAGCAATAGGTTTAGATTAGCAGAAGAAAAACAAAATAAACTCATCACGCTTTTTTGTACATTTTTTAGCCGTCGTTGCACGACTGCGACATGAAAGGTCCTTATTTGACGCGCCCTTTTTATGGAGTAGATAAACACATCGGAAAAATATTCTTTTTCTTTATGTTAACTCAGATACGGGCCTTTCGAATTCAACTCCAGAAAATTTCGTCAACATTTGACAAATTAAATGAAGTTGGATAAGATCGATGAAGTTTGAAACATTGCGAATTCACTTTTTAAGTGAATTTTCGGTTTGCTGTGATCCAGAAATTTTGCTACCATGGCAACGTGACGTAACGATTTCTCCTCCCCATTATCTCAATTGTAGCACCAATGACCTCCTCACATTCAAAATACGTGATAGGCTTACTTTTGTTTTGTATTAAATGCATCAAATGACTCCTCGGTATACAGTGATATGCGAGTCACTTCTCCTTGAAAAAGCTGTTTGAAATTGGTCCCAAACCAAGACGAGTTCGTCCCAGCGTGTGATCTACCCGTTTCGTAAACTTTGAAGAGGGTCGAGATGGAGAATACAAAGAAGAATATCTATGCCGATGTGGTTCCTCGCTTTCCAGAGCATTTGCAGAAAACGATGAGTAAGCTGCCCCTAGAGACACAACAGCGTTTATATCTGGACATTTTCAAGCCACTGGACTTTTACGAACTACTGTTTGAGTACTTTAAGGAAAAAGATCGCGCGCAAAACTCCAGCGACAGTGAAGATAAATGTTGAACGTTGTTATAAAAAGGAACACTAAACCTCTGTAATGAGAAGTTTGCCCAAGAGAGAGTGAGAGTGTTAAGTTAACACGGTTCACTATTTGTATGACTGATTTCCTTTTACACAAATTCATAAGTACACTGAAATTGAAGACTGTGCTCCTCAGATGTATAAATTATTGCTCTCCTTCTTGTATACTCGTATTTTTGTCAGTGCAACGATGAAATTGTATTCGTCAGATATTGTAAGATATTATAACAGCTTTTTGTTTTTATCTGTCCCTTGTTATGTATCTTGTATCTCAGTTAGTTGCATACGCCGTACTTTCTTATTTCTGTTAAAGCAAAGAGCATAGCTTCAAAGATTGCACTGTACCAGTTCTATTCGTCAGATGTGTTACGTTGTAGCACTGTTGTTGTATTTATTTTTGATGTGAGTTTGAAGTAAAGATAATTTTAACGCATTTTAAAAAGGTTCTTAAATAAGGTATTTTTGCCCGTATTCGATGCGCAACCTTCATTTGCTGTTTGTTACTACGCTATGAATGTATGGACGTTTTTATAGGTTTTTAGCCAGAACCATTTTCCAGCTGTAATGGTCAAGTCCTCACCTTTCCTTTATTTTTCTTTTAAACTTGGAGGTACAAGTGCTGTGTAAAATGTTATGCTGTGTCAAAAAAAAAAAATAACATAAAAAAAAACACCGGTTAGAACTCTCTTAAGAGACACGCAAAGTTCGAGTTGTATTAACTATTTTGAAGAGATAAAACATTTTTAATACCATAAACTTCCAACAGTGTTAGGGAACCTATTGTATCGTGAAAAAATTGTGCCTGAGAACGTGTATAAACAAGAATGGTGCATGGTCACCAAAAACGTGACTGCTCCGACTACAGTAGATTTAGAATCACGTTTCCTGCAAAATTGTGGCTGAGAACGCGTTAAAACAAAATGGCCAGTCAGCAACAACGTGACCGCTCCGGCTACAGTAGATTTAGAATGATGTTTACTACAAAATTGTGCCTGAGAACGTGTTAAAAACAAAATGGCTTCACCATCAACGTGACTGCTCCGACTACAGTAGATTTAGAATCACATTTACTGCAAAATTGTGCCTGAGAACTTGTTAAAACAAAATGGCCAGTCAGCAACAATACAGTAGTGAAAATGAAATGGTCGTTGAAAAACATCAGCGAAAGAAGAAAGAATTGGCTTTGAAAAAATTACAAATAATGTAATATAGGCTAGTGGCAAATGCAAACATTACAGATGCAAATGGTTTTTATAATATTACAGTAATCACACCTTGGTGCACAGATTATTAGAGAATACAGAGAGTACAGAGGGAGGGAGACAGAGAGAGAGAAAGAGAAAAAAGGGAATTAGTGCTGCACCCCTCGGTGTAATTTTCATTTTAAATGCAATTAGGAGAAGTGAACACTGAGAAAAATACTGCTGAAATAGAAAGGAGAAGTGTGACGTCACGTTACCATGGGAGCAAAATTTCTCGATCACAGCAACATGAAGCTAAGCAGCGATGACGGCAACGGCAATGAGAACGGCAGAAAAGCAATAGGTTTAGATTAGCAGAAGAAAAACAAAATAAACTCATCACGCTTTTTTGTACATTTTTTAGCCGTCGTTGCACGACTGCGACATGAAAGGTCCTTATTTGACGCGCCCTTTTTATGGAGTAGATAAACACATCGGAAAAATATTCTTTTTCTTTATGTTAACTCAGATACGGGCCTTTCGAATTCAACTCCAGAAAATTTCGTCAACATTTGACAAATTAAATGAAGTTGGATAAGATCGATGAAGTTTGAAACATTGCGAATTCACTTTTTAAGTGAATTTTCGGTTTGCTGTGATCCAGAAATTTTGCTACCATGGCAACGTGACGTAACGATTTCTCCTCCCCATTATCTCAATTGTAGCACCAATGACCTCCTCACATTCAAAATACGTGATAGGCTTACTTTTGTTTTGTATTAAATGCATCAAATGACTCCTCGGTATACAGTGATATGCGAGTCACTTCTCCTTGAAAAAGCTGTTTTAAGTTGGTCCCAAACCAAGGCGAGTTCGTTCCAGCGTGTGATCTACCCGTTTCGTAAACTTTGAAGAGGGTCGAGATGGAGAATACAGAGAAGAATATCTATGCCGATGTGGTTCCTCGCTTTCCAGAGCATTTGCAGGAAACGATGAGTAAGCTGCCCCTAGAGACACAACAGCGTTTATATCTGGACATTTTCAAGCCGCTTGACTTTTACGAACTACTGTTTGAGTACTTTAAGGAAAAAGATCGCGCGCAAAACTCCAGCGACAGTGAAGATAAACGTTGAATGTTGTTATAAAAAGGAACACTAAAGCTCTTTAATGAGAAGTTTGCCAGTGGGAGAAAGAGTGTAAGTTAACACGGTTCACTCTTCTATGACTGATTTCTCTGTAACCAAATTCTTAAGTACACTGAAATTGAAGACTGTGCTCCTCAGATGTATAATTTATTGCTCTCCTTCTTGTATACTTGTATTTTTGTCAGTACAACGATGAAATTGTATTCGTCAGATATTGTAAGATATTATAACAGCTTTTTGTTTTTATCTGTCCCTTGTTATGTATCTTACTTTTTCATCCGTTTGCATCAGTTAGTCGCATACGCCGTACTTTCTGATTTCTGTTAAAGCAACCAAGAACATAGCTTCAAAGATTGCACTGTACAAATTCTATTTGTCAAATTTGTTACGTTGTAGCACTGTTGTTGTATTTATTTTTGATGTGATTTTGAAGTAAAGATAATTTAAACGCATTTTAAAAAGGTTCTTAAATAATGTATTTTTGCCCCTATTTGATGCGCAACCTTCATATAATGTTTGTTACAACGCTGTGAATGTATGGACGTTTTGATAGGTTTTTAGCCAGAACTATTTTCCAGCTGTAATGGTCAAGTCGTCACCTTGCCTTTATTTAAACTCGGAGGTACAAGTGCTGTGGAAAATGTTATGCTGTGTAGAAAAAAAAAAAACAACAAAAAAAACCGTTTAGAACTCTCTTACGAGACACCCAAAGTTCGAGTTATATTAAACGTTTTTGAAGAGATAAAACATTTTTTTAATACCATAAACTTCCAACAGTGTTAGCGGACCTTTTGTGTTGTGAAAAAATTGTGCCTGAGAAAGTGTAAAAACAAGGACAGCGGTCACCAAAAACGTGACCGCTCCAACGACAGTAGATTTAGAGAAATGTTTGCTGCAAAATTGTACCTGAGAACGTGTTAAAACAAAATGGTTTCAGCAACAACGTGACCGCTCCGACTACAGTAGATTTACAATAATGTTTACTGCAAAATTGTACCTGAGAACGTGTTAAAACAAAATGGCCAGTCAGCAACAACGTGACCGCCCCGAGTACGTAGATTTAGTATCACGTTTACTGTAAAATTGTGCCTGAGAACGTGTTAAAACAAAATGGCCGGTCAGCAACAACGTGACCGCCCCGAGTACGTAGATTTAGAATCACGTTTACTGCAAAATTGTGCCTGAGAACGTGTTAAAACAAAATGGCCGGTCAGCAACAACGTGACCGCCCCGAGTACAGTAGATTTAGAATCACGTTTACTGCAAAATTGTGCCTACGAACGTTCTAGAACAAGAAGGGTGGTCAGCAATAACGTGACCGCTCGTGATACAGTAGATTTAGAATCACGTTTACTGCAAAATTGTGCCTACGAACGTTCTAGAACAAGAAAGGTGGTCAGCAATAACGTGACCGCTCGTGATACAGTAGATTTAGAATCACATTAACTGCAAAATTGTGCCCACGAACGTTCGAGAACAAGAATGGCGGTCAGCGGTCAGCAACAACGTGACCGCTCTGACTACAGTAGATTTAGAATCACATTCACTACAAAATTGTGCCCACGAAAATTCACACATGAGAACGGTGATTTCGGCTCGATTTCTGTAACGGAGCGAAGTTACGCCGCGCCGACCTCGAAAGTGGAGAGTCACATATCGGATAGGTTTTGTGCCATACTTTGGTGCGGTGTGAACACGTCCGACGCGGAAGTAAATTGGTAGGAGCGAGGACTGGAACCCAGTGAGACGGAAGTGAATATTTTGGAGTTAGGACTGGAATGTAGTCCACCAAGCCCTCTCGGCCAACAGTGCTAGCACGATGTTCGATGTGTGTGAACGACTTGTGCTGCCCCGGGCCGTTGCTGTTCATACTCCAACGGATAGCTTTTCGTGGCGCTAGTGTGAACATAGCATTAGAATGACGTTAACTGCAAAATTGTACCTAAGAACGTTATAAACCAAAAAAGGGTGGTCAGCAGTAACGTGACGCCACGATAAATACTTTTGTTTTGTAAGTTTTCTTGTATCTCTTTTTCTTAGCCCAGTCTATTTGTAAGAGTATGAGCATGAAGGCCATGCGAAGTGGAAGATTGGGGGCGGCCTTAGCGTGGTGCCTCAGATCAAAGGTAATATACTTTTACCCTTTAACTTCTAATAGTGGGCAAAGATAAAATTTTTAAGTTGCTTCAACCCTATTTTGAAAACGAGGGTAAGAGGGGGCGAAGTCTTTGTCTTTGTTCTTTCTTGCGGGCAAAACTTATTTTTGCATGAATGTTTTGCGCTTAACCTCACTTTGAAAGCGAGGACGTTTGGAACACGGGAAGGGCCTATAGAGAGGAGATGTCGTTACGTCACGTTGCCATGGTAGCGACATGAACGTCACTTAAAAGGTAAATTCCCGCTGTTTCAAACTTCATCGATCTTAATCAATTTCGTTTAATTCGTCAAATTTGGCGAAATTTTCTGGGGTTGAATCCGAAAGAACCATTTCTAAGTTTTGAAAAGGGAAGAGAAAATTTTTGGTGTTGTGTTCACGTACTCCATAAAGAGGGCGCGTAAAATTAGGAAGTTTCATGCGGCAGTCGTACGACGACGGCTAAGAAGTGTATAAGAAAGCGTGATGCACATGAAAAGTTGTTGTTTTAATAATATAAAGCTATTGCTTTTTTGCCGTTCTCGTTGCCGTCGCTGTCGCTGTCGCCGTCTTCCTTGCTTAAGCTCCCTACTGTTGTGATCCAGAAATTTTGATACCATGGTAACGTGACGTCAGACTTTTCGTCTCTATTAAAAGGCTACATTCAGGGATAAAACTAAACGTCATACCCACTTTACACAGTATAACCAACAGCACCACAGTGCACCCATCAACCTAACGGCACAGCAAAGTACTGCTTCATGGATCTTATTTCTATGAATATTAGACAACACCTTAAAAAGGTACATCCGGCAACCAAATGATTTGTACAGCCATCCTCGTCCCAGGGTTCTCTTCGACTCATCCTCTCTCTTGCTCTGGGGGACGAGTGGGAGAGAACCCTGGGAACGAGTATGTGGTGCAACGTATCACACGAACGCCATCATTTTGTCGTGAAAAGTAATTACTCTCAAATTTTGTAAAAAACTTTTTTGAATGAAAATGCAGTTTTGAAATTTCCCTTTCTCTTTCTTTTTTTTTGCAGGATTCTACGTTTGCTGCATTTATTTCAGAAAGGTATTTAGAGCATAGGGTTCATAGAGAGGAGAGGTCGTTACGTCACGTTGCCATGGTATCAAAATGTTTGGATGACAAAAAACCGATAAAGTCACTTAAAAGTCTATTCGCACTATTTCAAACTCCACCTATCTTATTCAATTTCATTTAATTTGACAACGACGGCAAAGAAATGTACAAAATAGCGTGATGCACGTGCAAAGTTGTTGTTTGTTAATATGAAACATATATTTTTTGGCGCCACCGCCGTCGTTGGTTTTGTTGTCATCCAGAAATAGTGCTACCATGGTAACGTGACGTCACACTTCTCACTATTTTATTGTTTGCTCTAAGAGATCATCTTGGGACACTGTCCTATTATGATCTCTTGGTTGCACTTAGTTTTGAAATACAAAATGAAATCTTGACTTCTACTAGGGCGGTAACGTGATCTCAACTGCCAGTTAGCGTAATCGTTGAGGAAGTTCGAGAGATTCAAACTGTAGCTTGAATCGCTCTGAGTGAGGAAATTTTTAATGTAAAATTTAAAATTTTTTGGATTTTTTTTATTAAGTTCTTATAGCAGTAATAAGCTAACTCATTCGGTAAGGGTCAGTGAAAAAAACGTTTGGAAACGTCAAAACGAAGGTACCTCATTTTGTGAAGCGTCAGAATGAGGGTTTATCGCAGTGACCGTGTCTAAGAATAAGGAAAAGGGCTTTGTTCATGTCAGCGTAGTTTTACCTTAATGTTTTTTTTGCATTTCTTTCCTCTGTACAGGTTCTTATCAGAGTACTGCAAGAGTGGCGGGTTTTCCAATCTTGATTTGATCGATAATCTTGGATCTGCCATGCTTCTCAGTGATCGGCTTACTTTTCTAGGTAACAAAAAGCAACTGAAAATGCATGCTACCGGTACCAAGTGCGCGGGAAAATGCATGCAACTGGCCATAAGACGGGAAAAAAAATGTTGCCAACGCCAAGGCGCGGGAAAAAGCATGCAAGCGGCATCACGCGCGAGAGAAAAAGCATGCAACTGACCATAAGCGCGGGAAAAGATATGCCACCAGCCCCAAAGCGCGGGAAAATGCATGCAACTAGCGATAGGCGCGGAAAAAGATATGTCACCAGCACCAAAGGGCGAGAAAATGCATGTAACTGGCATCTAGCGCGCTAGAAAATGCATGCAACTGACGATAAGCGCGTAAAAAGATATGTCACCAGCACCAAAGCGCGAGAAAATGCATGTAACTGGCATCAAGCGCGCTAGAAAATGCATGCAACTGGCAATAAGCGCGGGAAAAAAAAACCTGTTCTGAGCGCGGGATAAAGCATGTCATCAGCGCCAGGCGCGCGAGGAAACGAACACGAGCAAGTCACGATGTCACTGCCTGAGAGGGTAACGCATTTTTGTCAAAATCGATCATGGCAAAACCAAACCGCATATTTTCTATTAAGACTACAACGGCTTTTGCAATTTTTTTTGTTTTTGTCATAAGAATACTGAAATCCTTCAGTTCCTGCTTTTAAATCTTCATCGATAACCTTTTCTCTCGTCCGTTTCAATACGTCTTCCATTAGTTACTGATCATAATGTGTTTTACCTCAGGGAAGTACCGCGAGTTTCATAAGATGTACGAAGAAGGCAAGTTTCATGAAGCTGCTCATCTGCTGATCTCGCTGCTGACATCAAAGCTTGCCCCGCAGAGGTAAGGTAGACTTGTCGCTATCTCTCTTGTGGGGTTACGATGGGCTAGGCCTTGATAACTGAATCCCTCTGTGTTATACATTAATGCTGCTTTAATTAAAATCATTGTTCTCGTGGAAGAGGTGTAGAATTACACATTCTACCAACTACCTTGCTTGGAAAAAAAAACACGCCACTTTTGCATTGCCCTTAAACACTTCTTTACCCCAAAAATTTGCATTGACATTGTTTTTGAAAGTATTTTTAAGGCGATTTTTCCTTGTCAAATTCCCCAGGAATACCAAATCATCTCCCTCAAAAGTCGGTATATTTAAGCTATAGACTTGAAGTCTAAAATTTGATGTTCGTCCGCCGTCCGCTATCCTTATCGAAGATAAGCGCTGTAAATCATCATTTTTGATGATTAACTAAACAAAAAGTGAAAATGCGCAATTTTAAGAACGTTATATTTCAAAAACGCTCTCTTATATTTTTTCAAACCTTGCCAAGGTAAAGGCAACGGACAAAATTATTATTACACTAGAGGATTTTAACGGATTATTGCTAGATTTCGAGAAAATTCCCAATGCGCCACCGTTATTCTGTTGCCATGGAAGCGGCGATGTCAACAAAACCTGTTCTATTAAAATTAAGCTCAATTTTAGGTACATTGTTTGACATTGTGCCTTTTTCGTAATGCACTACAGCCAAAGTAATGGGGCATCAAACACGAAGAGGTGAGCCCTTGAAAAATGGGTGCGAGTCTCCTTAAAGTCACCAAACGTCTTATATTTCTGCCCTCTAAACTGGCTTTAATAAAACAACCTAAAAAGCACAACGTCATGACCACCTCTCAGAGACCACATCCGAAGCCTTTTTTCCCCTTTTTTGTCATTTTGCCTTTTACCTCCAATCGGCGGCAAAATTAGTGAGAGCCTTTGCCCTAAAAGGCCTTTCCGACAGTTTGCCGAGTTCAAGAGGAGAAAATGAAGCTCTCTCTCCCCCACCCCCTTCATACAATACATCAGGGGAGGGGTCTGGATTGTTTTTGTTCTCGGAAGTTACCCCATTGTCTCAATAATTTTGTCGCAGATTGTGTGTTGTTCATCAGCGGAGACATACTACCGACTATATCAAATTCTTGTCACATTCTCTGGCATGTTTAAATGATTCTTGAGCTGCTAATTCCACCGCCCGAACCTGGATGAAAGTGTAAAAGCAGTTAATCCTCTTTCGCACTTTATCGAAAAAAGCCCTGCCCTTAAACTGGAACGGAATTCTATTTTGGGTCGTATAATCCGTTTCACTTTTCACCTACACACGCGCCGCATATCTTTATCATATTCTAAGACATGCCGACACGTTATGTTAGTTGTTCGCAAGTTGATTAATTTTGATACAAGATTTTTTAAGACTAACTACAATTCTCTTTGTTGCGAGTCTAAAATCGTTACTCTTGCCCACAAAAATAGGCTACCATTGACGTTATCCTCTCCAATATTATTTATTTATACATTTATGTATTTACGTTCGCCAATTCTTGGCAGGGTCACCACAACAGCGCGTGGCGCTAAATACTGCTGGCCCGTAACAGTCCTCCCCCCTCGCCCTCCCCCATGAAGAGATAGACCACCACACCGGGGACTATGTTCCATACTCTTTACGAACAATGCGTTGGTTCTATAACGCCCCACAGATTTTAGATGTGCAAGGGTTGTGAGACGGGGCCTACGGTTTATCGTCCTTATCCTAGAGGACTAGAAAGCCTAACCTTTTGCACATGTCTTTACAAAGGCAGCACTTTCTCCTGAGTGTTTGTCCGGCCGGGGTTTCAATCAGCAGCATCCCGCTCGGCGTACCGGCGCTTATCCAATTGAGCTAACCGGACGGAGGTTAAAGTAATGACGATTCGTTCGTTCAATAGGGTTGCTATGAACTATGACAAACAAAACTATAACCGTCTAGCAAGTTCTTTAACTCGTAAGATTTTATCGACCGTCTTCCGGACATTTGCCTCTGAGTCAAGTACTTACTGTCGCATTCAGCTGCTAGCTATTTTCCGTCGAGGGTTTCTTTTGAAGTTTCTTTGAGCTCCGAAAAATAGTTAAAACGTTCAGGTTGATAGTAGCCTATGAAAAAATTTTGCCTGCGAAATAAATGGGACTATGCAAATTTAAAAGTTCTGCCAAAGAACGGTTTGCGCATGAGTAAAACGGTTAAGTTTGAAGCCTTACAAGAAAATTTGTTCTCGTTCGTTTCTCTAAGATGTTTGCTGTGACGTACACCGAATAGGGCCTTTCTTATTTAAGAGCGATTAGTTGTGGATTGTTTCTTTCCAGATCTACTCCCTCAACAGTAATTTTCACAAAGTAAAAAAATATTATACAATTATTTAAGTCTGTACATGCGCAACTTTTCTTTTTCTTGGTTAGGAAAATACCTAACCATCCTCTTCCATAGACAAATATCCCGGGGACTTGCAAGGAAACATATAAAAAATATCGAAACGGCCCTGACAGCGTTCCAGTGCTATAATGCCGGGTGGTAAGAAGTATGTAATCGGATTAAATTTTTTTTTGCGTACAGCGAAACAGCACAAGTTAGGTTAGGGTTCAGCGATAGACGAGGATTACAGCTTATGAATTTTTTTTCGTAACAAGCAGTACAGAAATCAACATGTTTCATAGTTTTTATTTCTCGTATTTCTCTCCCTAATCCTCGGCTTTTTGGTGAGTCTTGAGTCGTTTTTCAAAGTAATAAAACAAACATCATGGCTATGTACGAAGCCCATTTTTTCCAGGTTGTTCTTTATCTGATTTGCCGCAAGTGCAGGCACGTTTTTGAATCATGCTTCCGCTGTTTATTTCACCGCCTTTGGCTGGGTGACGGAGAAGGCGTATACAGGGGCACCCAACGACGGTTTCCTGCTAAATACATTGAAAACACGTTTTCGGCTGTCCAGAGTACTTTTAGATCTCTAGAAATGCATTCTAAGCGGAGCTATAAAATTTGTATCTCTTCGGTCATCCTAGGGGAACTTGAGTCTTTTCGAAATTACAAGGGCTTTAGTATGTTTTCCCGAAAATTTTAAATGCAATTTAACGTTTTACGAAAGTAAGAATTTTTCTGATTCCTGTCTCCATCACATTTTTAAATCCGAAAATTTCAGGTTTCCTTTTTTCTAGAAAAAAAAGCTAGCCTAACCTGGGGAGTGAAATGTAAAAAAATAAACTTCAGAAAATCATAGGCAATTTATTACATAAGCTTCGAAGGTTCTTCATGAATGGAACGGCCATCTAGAATTAGAAATTTTTAGCTATCCTTAAGTTATAGTAAATTCTAGGCAATATTTGCTTCTCCGAACAGGTATTTTACAGAAAACAGTCGTTGGGGGCCCCTGGCGTACACACCATTTATCCAATTTTATACTACATCAAAAGAACTCAATCTGCTCTAAGACTAGACGTAATTCTCTCCTTGGACAATTAATCCTTCGATTCAATTCTGACCGGCACACGCGCTTAATATTTTTGTCATGACCTTTGAACAGTTATGCCTATGCGTATAGTTGTTCGCAAGTTATCAGCTTTAAAACAGGATTTCAGGACAAGATTATGATTAATGATGATCCTACTCCCACGAGCGTTGTCTGTCTTTTAACTTCTAATAGAGCCGGAATGGCCATTATGCAAAGTTTCAAAAAAAAAATTCAACGTACCTTTTTGTAAAAAAAAAAAAAAGTTTTGTCGAAGAGGTTTTACTTCAACGGTAACACCATAGGATTTCGTCAGCTGAAACTATCAAGCATTTTTAGGTGTGATAATATGTACTAATCTGTCAAAGATTATACGGTAATACTATTTTAATATCTATTCAGTCTGTGCCGCTTTATTTATAGCTGTTAACTTTCTGAAGTGTTTTAACTCTGTTCACCAGTCCTAAAACTACCTTAGCCAGCCTACAAGAATAGGTTACCCCAGACTAGGCTCTCTGTTTTGTATAGCAAGTAACAATGAAATCAGCTTGTTATCATCTAGAAGAAAGCTTGCTTGCTCTCTTTAGCTCTTTCGAGTGGTATGACTCGCATAGTTGTTAACATATTTTTTTTACGTAGTATCAAGTTTAATTTGCTTCTTTGTCTGTGATTCGGTTCTTATTTTAGAATAAGCCGCTCCGTCGATAAACTCTCACCCTCTTCAAGACGACTAAAGCTTGTTAAGGAGATTTCATACAGCCGTTTATAATTTAGATTGTTTATGAAACCGAGTATAGCCGGTCTCAATCAACAAAGAGTCCTTCCAGAAATGCTTTCAAACCAAGGTTAGGTTTCTAATTTCTCCCAAAAAACGAGTTTAGCTTACAGGGGCACTTTGTTTCCGTCCCAAGAGCAAGAACCAAACAAAGCAAAGTGATTAACGCAGTTTTAAGATAAAGTTCGGGATAACGGGGATGGGTGTTGATAAACGTCAATACAGTTCTTAAAATTTGATTTTGTCAAGGCAGTCCAGAACTTAAATTAGACTGAGTTTTCTTGGCTTGTCTTGTCTTGTCTGAGTTTTTGCTGCTTTTCTTGCATTTACTTTATTTTTGTTTTTTGGTGTCTTATCTTCCAAGTCTGAGCTAAACTCAAAGCAAAGAAAAGTCCAGAATGTGTTATTTCAGTTATTTTAGCTGTCTTTGGCAGTATCAGAATCTGTAGGTTGCGTGGTCACAAAGCCGGATACTGGGACTTGCTCACGTGCTTGTCACGTGAGAACTTAATTATTCGTTGTCTTACGCGATTTCTATACCTTTCCAGCAGTCGATTTGCTTCACGGTTGTCTAGCAAGCTTGTAAACGCTATATTGTGTTGACGTTTGAATAATTGTTGATCACGTTCAACAAGCGGCTCTATTGTTTGAATCTTGGTTGAAATACTCAACGTTGTTCAAATAAAAGTTTTGAACAACCGTACCGAGGAACTAAGGGTGCTTTCCTTTGAGATGATCCGGTTCAAGATCAGTGATCCGATGATCCGGATCATCCCAGAGGAACGCACCCGAAGTCATAATCCCCTTCATACTGAATCGAAATTTCGATCCGGTTGATCGACTCCCAATAACTAATCATAAAAATCGGTTGTACATTTTGAAGACACCTGAGCGAGCAGAACTTTCTATACCCACCGAGAAATGCCGGGTTTTCTCCGCCGATAGCTATGCTACGTTCGGTGGAGGAAACCTTTACTCGAAGGGTAAATGCTCTTCTTTGCATTTACCGTTTATTGTGCTTCACAAGATCGTTTGTTTCTGGTTTGTGGATGGAATCTTATCTTATCTTCGTAAAATTGGAGTGTCAGCATTATCTATTTTCTTGCACGTGATGGCTGAAATCTTGAATTTTAAGTAAATTATCATAAGGTCATGTCTACTTTTAACATTTTTAAAAATAAGACGTAGGATGTTTTCTTTGTTGTCGGAAGTCTTTGAAGTGTGATGTTTAAGCTCTTTCCATACCGTTTTCACAGAAGTCTTTTCTTGCATGACAGTAAAACGCATAATAATAGTGTAGGCGTACCCACAAGTCGACTTACATAAATATTCGAGGGACGAAATCGCAAAATGGTCTTTTACAAAGTTTAAATAATAACACTGTTCGCCACAGCTGTGGATAATATATCACCATATCCACAACCTCGTCGCTCGATCTTTGTGCCCTCATTTTCTTTTTTGATCTACCGCTTCCCTAGTGATTCTATCGAGAGAAAAGGCTCCTTTGCGCTTAATTGCGTTGTTGTTGAAATGGTTTTCTTGTTCGCATGCTTTCAGCTTTCTATACATGGCTTGTTGACAAAAATGTAGAAATGCCGCCCCCTCGGCAAGACCCTCTCCGCCTCGTTTGCGGCCATTAATATTTGCGTCTTCAGTTAGATTACATCTTAAGTGGTTTGTTTCTGCAGGCGGTTTACGGCGGCTTTTTCTTTCAAACGCATGCAACCCTGCACGCAAACTTATGCATGGCAGCCTCACAGACGGGAATTAAGTTATAGAGAGGCGTTGGTGCACGGACAGTTTAAATTAGCTTGGCTTTAAACTCTCATGAAGAGTTAAGTACCGTTTACGATCGCATGACGGATCGCTAACTAAGCGTGCACAACTAACAAAGCGGCACGCTTTGGTTTGCTTCGATGTGGTCCAATATGGCTTTGGTTGGCGGAGAAAGCCAAAGCCGGGAGCAGACTGGTGGTACCATTAAACACCATTAACGATATTGGAGTCGATATGGCTGTGGTTTTTGTTTTGCATTGGCAGTAATTATTGATTAATTGCAGGGCTGGATAAGTGCGTTCCCCTTGTTCTTAGAATGAACACCCCCTGTGTTTTGTTGGGCCGACGAATCAGAGTCACGCGATTTCAGGTGAATCTGCCGAATGGAAGATGATCTAAGAATCAATGGAAACTTTGCGATTATCATCGGAAACGATAGTAATTGCTATTTTAAAAAAATTCTAAGGCATTAATGATCCGCAAAATTGGAGAAATGGACACCGAAAGATTAAAACGAACTGAGGCGACCATTTTTGATGGTGTTACCAATTGAAATTAATGATTGTTTCTAATGCAAAATGTAGAATGAGAACTTTAAGCAATGCTGGATCTCTAAGCACTAAGGATTCGTAAAATTGGAGTGTCAGAAGTTTGAAACAAACTGTAGCAGCCACTTTTGATGGATTAAACATTGTTTTATATGCAAAATAATGAATGGACACCTTGAACTATGCTTGATCGCTTAGCAGCTTCATCCACTCTTAGAGCATTTAGTTTCAGTTTCAATTGCCCTCAGCTTAACAACGTTTTTAAAGGTTATGTCATAAGAAGTGCAGAAACAAAACTCGTTTCCTGTCTTTCTAGTTCTCTGAACTACACCTCGCTTATACTGCACCGTCTATAGTACTGCCCTTTTGCTAACGCTTACTCGTGCTCCAAGAACATCGAGGATGAATTCCCCGGACTGAGTTTTCAGATACCTCAAGGCACTTACAATTACGAGTGTAAACTACTCGTGAGGATGAAAGCAATTGTATACTCGAACTTTTTAAGTTTCTTTTAAAAACTGTTTAAGAATCCCAGACAATTCAGTTCCAGTATTTACAAATTCAATGAAAATACAGTTTGTTGCTGGTTTTAACATTTACAGTTTTTAAAATTTACAGTCCAAAATAATTATTGTCTAGGTTCCTTGTCACTCAGTTATTTTTGTCATTTTTTTACTCTTTGTGTCGTTTTGCAATACTACTTGTGACTTTCTCAATTATGAAATTATTAAATGTAACCAGTTTACTGCGTAGAAGGCGTTCGAAGGGAAATTGGGGATCCTTAACACGCAAAGGGAACGCGAGGGAGCAAAGAGAAACCTCGCGCGCTCTTCGCGCACCCGTACCCTTTATTCTCCTTTACCCTGCCTCCCAAAGCGTTTCTTAGTCCAGTAAAGTGACGATTGTTTTACGTCTACTTGTTGATGTTGCCCTATGTAACGGAATCCAAGACAATCTTGGATTCTGGATTCCACGCCGTGGATTTCGGATTCCAGGTACTGAATTGTGGATTCTTTGTCTGTGGAATTGGGGTTCCGGATTCAAATCGTTAGTGGGATTCCGGATTCCAAAACCCAGGATTCCAGATTCCAAAAATGACCGGTCTGTAGGCCGGCCGTTTCTGACGTTTGGAAAGCGCCCCTAGTAAATTGTATTTACCAGTCTATAATTCGTACTTCATTTGCTGCTTTTGTTTTAGGTTGTGGTTGACTTTATTAACAGACGCTATACCGCTTCTGGAACACGAAGAGGTAGGAGATTTTGGATGCGTTTGCTTCTTTTTTCTTTCGTTCTCTTTTTCTGATTTTCATCAATAATGAACTACTTGCTGTAATGAACAACAAAATATATCCAGGGCATTACTGGTTTGCACGTGACGTTATAACGGCCATGTTGGTGGTCAGGGACAATAGCATTTCTCTCTCTTTTTGTGTAAATTCTTCGGAAACAATTTTATTCTATTTACCACCAACATGGCCGCCTTGTCACGTGGTTGCAAACCAAGAATAGAGCCTAGAGTCTGGTGTGCAGCTTGCCTCGTCCCTAAGCCTCATTAGGGAGCTTTAGCATCGACGACGGCAACGGCAGCGAAAACGTCAGTTTTAAAATGAATTCTATGATGTGTCGTGATTGAAATGAAACCTCTTCAGCAATACTTTCCCATTGTGGCTTCATGAACTGGTTCTAACTTTAAGCGTCTTGGTGCAAGATTCTGTGTTGTGACCATTCAAATAAAACCTCCTGTGCGGACGTTAACCTGAAATGTTCATGTTTCCGTATTTCACAAATAAAATCTGAGTCTGTTATTTTGAATCTCTTTTTATTGTTACTGAAATGGGGGCCAGTTCTGGCAGTTCTTTTAACACGAAACCCGTTCCTTCCTCGTCTAGGTCATTTTCTCCAGCTCTCAGACGTACGAACTGATGCACTGTTTAGATGAGATAAGGCTCTCCTTCAGGACTGAAGAGTATCTGGAACATCCTGACAAGGGTCTCTCTGAAGAGCGGTCAAAAAGAGCCGCCACTCGAGGCCCCGGAGCGAAGACATCTAAGAGCACCAAGGTATTTTGAACCAGTTTAATTTTCCGTGCATAAAGCATCACCTAGACCAAACTGGCCTCAGCCGCATGTAACTACCATTACCCATATATTGCAGTGCCCTCCCCCCAGAGTGTGTGTTTTGTCCCGCCCGAATGTTTGTTGCAGGAGAAAAGTTAGCTGTTGCTAGGCAACTAGCTGCGGGTTAAAAACTCTTAACCCTGTCCCTCCCAGGGTGAAAGAAAGGTGGAGTCTTGAAAGGTGGTTCTAACTTTTGAGTCGGTAATCAAGATGCTGCAGTGTGACCATTCAAATTGAACCTCTTTGCGAATACTTTCATCTGGTACTATTTACTTTTTTTAGCATTTACAAAATGAAATTTGGAAATTAGGCAACTTTTGACTTTTGTTACTTCTGGGAAAGGGTTAACATGCGGTTGGCCGTGAACCCTGGTGAACCTGTGGTTTTGCTTTCCCAACGTAAAATCCTTTCTTTCATCGCCGACTCAATCCTCTTTCCTGTCGCAACCTGTCAGCAGCGTCAACATTTGTCTTTCATCAATTAAATATATACAGTCGTCTTAGTTAAATATTACTCTTGCGTACGTACTGATGGCTACAAATACCTCCTATCCATCTCACGGACTGCTCTGCGTGTTTCAAAAATACTTTCCCCATATGTTGTGATGTTAAGGAATGTTTAGAATGAAAGAGTGTCAGTTTCTTCGTTCAATCAATGTCGAATTCATCGCTTCAGCTCGTAGATAGATTAAGGGCTGTGACTATAAGGGAAACTAAAGAAATTTTTTTAAGGTCGAAGTATTTGCAAAACGTGAAGAAAAATCTATCCTCTCGGTAAAGTTGATGGAAAGTCTGGGAAGTTTACTTGAGGTTGTCATAGTTTCCTGAAGATCACTGGCAAAAGCCATTTTCATGTGGAAAAAAAATTAAGTAGACTGATTTTGATACTTTATAACATCTTGAACAAGACTTGAACGAATTGTAGATTGTTTGAAAAACGTATAAAGAGATCGAAAACGAAGATGAGATTAGTTAAGGTCTTCTAAAGAAGCTGAAGAAAATGTGAAATGAAAGATAACGAGAAATCGTTTAGAGGTCAAAGAAAAGTCAGGCAATTGTCAGAATTTTTTGTTTTTATTCCAGTGAATGGTAACCCTGCTCCGATAAGCTCAGATATTTGTCGTTAAAGAGCATTGGAACAATTAGGCCAACTTGTTATTATTTTTGACTTAGCTACAATATTTATTTCGATTTTCTGATTTTGTCACCAGCAAATAGATTAGGCAATGAATATATGGCATTCGAAGTCCTTTTCTCGTAATAATGAAACGTTGCCATGGAAGGTTTTTTAGACTTCATTTATTCAACATAGTTTCGCACGCCCTCCGAGAAGATGGAAAGTAAGCCAGAAAAGTATAACATATTCCGTAGCTTGATCTGCCTTGAACATTATAGCTGGTTTTTGGCAGCACGGTGGGAAAGCTGTGTTGTTGGTCTTCATATAAAAAGGTCAAGTTTTAGAATTTTTTCCCATGATACGCTAAACTGAATGAAGCAGTTCTTAATCGTTCTTCAGTCTATTCAACCGAGCAGGAAAAAAACCAATGAAAATCACCCTAGTTTAAGTAAGTATTATTTCGCGTTCTTGTTATTACTATTGCTAGTTGCGAGCAAACAATTGAGTTGTTCGTCGCAGCTGTGCAGCTATGCACGTACACATGCACGTATGTACGCTAAACTGACGCACGGGAACGGCTCCAAAACGCACGGCATCCAACTTGCTATGGGGCATTGACAACCCGGGTGACAAGAAGAGGTATTCAAGCCACACACGAGCAAGGTCGTCAACGCCCATCTTTGGCAAACAAGGTTAAGTTTGCAACTATGTCTCTCCCGTTGTGAGTTATTAACGTTCTGTCGTGACCAATAAAAACGCTCGCCAACGAAGATGTTTTGAAATAAGTTAGAAACATCAGCAGTAAAACTGCTCAAACAACAACAACAACAGCAACATCATTTAACTTGTTTATGGAACGTGAAATGAAATATTTTTGCTCAGCATCTTATGGTGTTTGCTTGAGGTAGGGAACATCTGGCAAGCGATTCTAAAAACTAAATGCGGAATGAAAGTAAATTTAGTGTTTGTAAAAATAGGAATTGAGAGAATCATTTTTATAATAGAATGCGTGAAATTAATGAATTCTTTACAGAGAATTCGTAAGTAGTCTAAATGGTTCGCAGTATGAGAAGAAAGTCAAACACGCGTGTAGCGAACGCTTGAACATCCCCTCGCTAATTTCCTACAAGCTAAATATATGTCTCTTGAGGGGATTTCTTCCTATAGTACTAACATATTATATTTTCTTATGTCGCTTAGTTTCTAGTAGAACAGTTTTACCCCTTTAATCAAAGTCCCGGCTACGCAATTCCGTGCATAAAGCTGGCTTTTCTACTATTTAAGAGCTATTTGATTTTTCTATTGCGTAGGCTGGCAGGGGGAGACTGGAGAGAAGTAGAACTTTCCCCAAGCAAAGCCTAATTTCAATTCAACTTTTCGTTCCGGCGGCGTATCTCCGTTCGGAGTTGCCAGCTGGTTCCAAAACTTGGTAATTTGAAGTCGACGAAAGGTTTTCCTCGGAAGTAAAAATTTCTTTAAAACCGAAGAATATTTAAAAAAGATTTCCTGGTAACTCTTTCGTTTATATAAAGAATTAGGCCCGGGGCAAATACCCATTAAAAAACTGTATTAATGGACCTATTTTGTAGAGAAATCTTTTGAATCGCTGATAAAAGTGAAAAACCCTTCTTTATAAGAAGAACATGTAGAAGCATTAAATTTGATTCAAATTCAAAAGCTATAAATATAATACAGGGGCAAAGATAATTGTTTTTGTTGCAGCTGTAATAGATCTATACAAGCCTTGCCGAATTTGCCTCAAAGGTGCCGCGATCCTTTAAACACTGCAAATGAATTAAAAGTTTTATATGTGGTTATTTATTTCGCGACCAGCAGAGGCAAGTTTTATTTACAAAACAAGAAAGCACTCTGTCTTAAACGAGTACCGAACTAACCACCCCACCTCGAAGCCACCAGAATCTTATTGTTGAGTGCATTAATGAAAAAACAAATTTAGAGCTGGTATTTTGTTCTCACGGCCACATGCTCAGTGAACAAGCGTAGCAATTACTGTATAGTTTTGGCGGAGATTCTTTGATGAATAATTGAGTTGGGTTTCCCGCTGGAAGCAAGACTCCTCAACGTACCGCATTGCATGTGGTCTTAGAGCGAAACGCCAAACCAAAACTTTATTCAAGTCCGCCTTTGAAGCTGTGTTTATTGATGACTCGTTTGGCTCGACAAGGCATCTAAAGAACCTGTATTAGGCCCATGTCAGGGTCCCTATATTTGGCAGCTCGGCAGTGGGTAAAAAGAAAAACGAGAAAGAAAGGATTTGGTAACTCGGCACTAAATAAAAAATAACGAAACATACTTTAGTTGCACGTCAGCGCGTCCATATGTTTGGGGCTCAGCAGTCGATAAAAAACAAGAATTGACAGTATATGCGGGTATTTCACTCGCTCTTCTCTCCCTAAGGAAAGTAATAGATTGTAGTGTACATCAATGCAAAACCTATTTAACTCTCGCGAAAACACGGTAGTGGACTGATAAAATTAGAATTACCCAAACTGTCGCAGCTCGACTTAAGTATTAGGAGAGACAGACAGTTAGGATAGATTCTTTATTTTACCGCACATATAAATAGCCAGTGCTCCAGTGCTTCTTATTTTACCACTGATCCTGTTGATTAAAGCAATTGTTTGGCCTTTAATTTTTTCCAGAGTTTTCGATTAAGTGGAAATTGAAGCTTTTGAATAGTACGGCTTTAATCCCAACCGTCCACAATTCATTAATATGATTGTCGGTGAAACTACTTCTTGATATTTAACCGGCGTCAAAACTTGCCCTCGTCAGCTTTTTCCGCTTTTCAAATATAGGGTGGAGAAACTTCTGAACATTGTAGACGACAGAAATATTACAAAAGAGGCGGAGGATTTAATCGCTTAAAATAGATAGCTTGCATGCATTCAGATCCGTGTGAACAATTATTCCGGTTTTATTGACTACGGAAAATTTGGTGAACAAGATTTTCGTTCTGTTCGCCAATATTTCTGCAAAGGGTTACTTTTCGCGCCATTTTGTCAACAAGAAAGCCCTGCGACGACTCTGTCGGTTGCACTTTGAGTACGCATGCGTCGATCCAATGGCCGATCTATCCTCCGGAATCGCTTGACTCAATTTATCGAAGAGGTCCATTATATTTTCACTTGTTGCTTCTCTACCATTCTTGATTATTTAAGAGCTATTTTTGTCGAAGGGCTGGCTATTGCGTCGTCCAATACCAGTTTTTTTTTAATGCCTCAATGTCTACAGAAATTGAGTCCCGTCTGCATATTAGGTTGCTCGTAAAATATCCATTCCAAATATTTGTCTTTCGGTTTTTTTCCAGGCACGAAACAAGAATTGATAAACCTTTAATTTGCGTCTGAGCCGTATCACGTCATTTCGTGCAATCTATTGTGGATAAAAAATGATAATTTTTTTGGTTATTTTAAGGCAGCTTTTAGCTCATTTTTTGTGTTTGCAAAGAAAGGAACTACTAGGTAGAAGGGTACATACAGTGTGTAACGACACTGGATGAAACTAGTTGAGCCGGTAACGGACTTAGGTTGAGGCCCCTTAGTCTGGTAATGGCCCATCTGATCCTATTCATCGCAAATATTAAAATTTTCTCTTTCACGTTAATTCTAAACATTTCTCCCTGCCGTATTTTCTTCATTAAAACATTCGTTCAGACAGTTTTTGTGCCAATAACTCAAGCACAACCCACTTGAAGCATGTTTAGATCGGCCCCATCCTCGGTTGGATTTCAAAAATAAGTTGCTGCTACTGAAATACGCTGAAATATTTAAAAATAAAGTAGCCGTTTGATAAAAATATTGATAATAATATTGTTCACTCTGCAGCCTTTTTGTCCAACGAAACATCCGCCCTGTTTGAGTTTAAAGGGGCAGGTTCACGGTTCAACGCATGCTCATTTATCAAAATGCTATTTTTCTGCTGGGACATGCTGTATCGTCTATGGAAGCAATATGACCATGTCATAATGTTGTCAAAGAACCAATCTGCGTACTCCTCCTGGCAGTCACTTGATCAACTTATGTGCAAATAGCTGTAAATTAATAAACCATGGAATAAAACCTTCGGGTCAACAATAAATTCAACGTTGGTATTGTTGGCATAATCCACTAATTTTTTCTGCGATTTTAGTACTCCTCCATCCTACTTCAGGTTACTTTGAAATACACTTCTACTTTGAAATACACGCTGAGATTGCTGAGATACATGAGAGTGGGATTATTAACCGATAGAATTAATAATAAATTGGGAAAAAGTAATTTAATTAATGAGCATGCGCTTATCCGTGAACCTGTCCCTTTAACATTCCTATAGACTGACTTTTGGGAGAAAAAGCTATATTCAGAGATGAAAGCGAGTCTAAAGCGTATGGACTCTACTACCCTGTATACTGTGTACAGCTTGCTATGAAAATAGAATTACAGTGAATTACAATTTTGTAATTCCTCTTAGGACTGTCTGTAAAAGCCTGTGTGCAAACTTTCCTATCACCTTGCCAAACATAAAGAGAGAGAGAGAGAGATAGAGAGATACCCAGGCCTCGGTTCCCGAAAGGCTATAATCCAGGATTAAAATTTTGTTCCACTTTTCGAATTTACCTTTCTATGCATTGCTTAGGGTAACTTTTGCGTTATCATTTTGTTTTTTTGGAATTTAAAGTACAACAGTATTTTGTGAGCTCGAGTTACATGTCCTTAGACAAGAAAACCTTGTTTAAAATTTGGCTTAATCGTGGGTTAAACTTAAGCATCTTTTGGGGAACCGTGCCCTGAAGTTTGCAAGTGATAAATTTGACTACTATTAGTAGGGCGCACGCGCGTGAACTCGTCCCTCCACGTTTCCTCGTGGGTGGCGATTTTCACGTGCGCTTACATATTTTGCTCGCTTTTCGAAACATTTTTAAAAGGGGTTTATTGTAGTCTAGCAGTAACTTCCCAGACCAGAGTCCGCCGTAAAAAAATCTGCGAAACGTGCAGTTAGTGCCGAGGATGGGGTTTATCTAGCTTTAGATCTAAAAGAGCGCATGAAAGAGGCTCTTAGCGCAGCTTCTAATGGCAGCTTTCTCATAACAAGACGTGACATAATTATCAATTTGTTGTTGGGACTTCATAGACTTCCTATTGCTCAAATCATTCTCAGGATTTTTTTGTGGGCAGTTTCTGGTGCTTTTGAAGAAATCGTATCCAAAGTTTATCAGGGGCAACCAACGACCGAATGTTTCCAAATACGTTAGAAGTGTCTGAAGAAAATGTCACAGTTTTATCTATGATTTAGAAGCCTGTGGTTAATTTGGAGCCTCCCTGTGGTTTACTGAATATAACTTTCAATGTTCATCCTAGTCCTACTCTGTCAATATTTTTCTTTTTGAGAACACTTGTCATTTATGACATACTTTTCTAAAGCGATGTTTTACCGAGTGAACTCTGACAGTAGATTTGACCTTCTACTGGTAAATATCCTGCTAAAAATAGAAGAGAATTTGGGATTACAGAAAAAGCGTTACCGCCGCCAAAGGGTGAAGTGTTTTGCTTTAATGAGGAAGTCAACCAAATATGCCATTAATGAAGTCGCGTCAAACCCGGCACGCGAAAAACAGTGGAGACTCTAAACTCTTAAAAAAAAGCCTTTTACCTTTACCATACTTCTCATTGCATCAAATCCGGCCCTGAACGTTCTAGATATAGAGTCTCCCGCGTTTGAAAAGTCTTTTCGTCCGGTTGAGGTTTGCCGTGAGGCAATTTACTGTTATTGCGCATCTCGCCACATCTGGGATTTTTTAAGAGTTTTCCGTCGCTCACCTCTCGAAAATAATCGAAAAGCCGAAAGAACTGTCGGTAATAACAGCATCAAATATAAATATTTGGTATATAGTGAGGTTACAGACAAAAACATGAGCTTGTCAGAGATTTGGATTAGTTTGCGGATAGCACGAAAGGGCGGAATATTGTTATCATCTTAGATAATCTTACCCCAAGCTAATTTTGAGTCTCAAAAGTGAAGGAAAAGACTGATCGTGCCAATTCTGCGTACACTGAATAGATTTGACCGGCTTAATCTCTGGCAAAGCTAACAAAACAGATTCATTACGTCAAAGAAAAAAGATACTATTCGCTGTAATCCTTTTGACGTTAGTCGTGGTGTGTTTGAGGAGGCGGGAGAGGGGAGGGGAAGGGGGAAGGGCACAGAGTATATAAAAGTAGGGTATCCCGCCCAGTGATCCCGCCTATTTCCCTGAGAGGGATGTTCCAAGCCAAACTGTTTCGTTAGCGAATGGAGTTGTTGGGAGGTGACTGTAGAGGGACTTGCTTCTATCTATTTTCACACGTACAATACGTTAATACCAGACTACTCGAAGTGATCCCCTCTTCCATAAAGTGCTTTCTCGCACAAAACGATACTTTGTAACAAGACGTGAGCGTGTTACGGGCACGCAAATAAAACTACTTATCATTTGTCATGACGCAGCTAGGGTTTAATGGGTGTTCCCTCAAACGTATATGCCGCTTCTTTGACGCGAGAACTTTCTTGCGTTCAGTCAAGGCACGTAGCTTTGTAATAATTATAATAATAGCGTGAAGTAACAAAAGGATCAAGTGGCACCATTCAAGCGAAAGCTATGTGGTAGCACTCCACAAGGAAAAAAAACAACTCCAGGAACAAGTGGCGGCTCTCAAAAAGCTTCCGTTTGAATTCACTTGTAACACTCTGCATTTTGGTGCACGTACTTAAAGTTATAAAGACAACTATAAAACCTTATCACAGTAGCTTTGGCTCTGTTTTATTTTATGGAGAGTTGTTCTGACTTTTGCCTCTGCGCAGCTACAGTCACACAACTTGTCCATTCAAGCGGAATCTTTGTAAGATCACTTGTTTGTCAGCTTGTTTTTCTTTGTGGTTCTTTGTGGCGTGATCTCCGATTTCTCCAGGAAGTAACAAAGAATTACTGAAGCGATTCTGTTAAAGAGAATAATTAGTAACAATTAACTGACGTAGCGACGATATCAGTATTCGATATTTTCGTCAGGAAATAATTTGGGACGAAAATTCAATAGCAGTGGCAGTAACCTGTCTGTATTTTGGCACTCTCATCCTCAATAAACATCCTCTCTTTTTGTTTTGGCGGCTACATGCATACTTAATTCTGTGGCATGTACGTAGCTTGTGGGGGTGTCCTAGTCAATTGAGCTGCTTGTTTTGCTTCGTTACGTTCTATTTTCTAGATGTTTTAGTTGTGAGGATGTCCAAGTCGATTGAACTGCTCATTTTTCTTCGTTACGTTCTATTTTCTAGGTGTTTTAGTGGCAAAAGTATTTTTTGTTGTCGGAGCACTGAACAACAAACGGTGCTAAAAGGGCGTGATGTGCGGCACTGTGACCAAACATCTTAGAAAGGAACACTTCTCTATTGAAGTGTCAGTATGTTTAGCACTAAGTACTTATTAAGGACACCGTTTTTAAGTTCTCATGGTAGACGGAACGACGTCTATCTCTACGTGGTCAGGGTTGTCGCTAACTTTCCAAGTTGCTAGGTATATACAATTGCTAGGCGTGAAGTCGAACAGCCAGGAAGTTCTAATGTTCTATGTTTACCTCACTATTATCTCCTCGCATGATAGCACAAATCACCAAACACAAACTTTCGATTAGTATGAATGCCATTTGCTACTGCTTGTCAGTTTACTTATGATTTAAAATGTGATTGAAAATCGATGAAAGTGTGATTGAAACTGTTCGCGTTTGTTGATGTTTTGATGTTTTCAGTCGGTGCGAACCGTTAGGTTGAAAAATAAAATCCTAATGTGTGTCAACTCAAATGATTAAGTCCTGACCAGTACTTTATAACTCTTGCTTAATATTCAGATTTTCTGCCAAGTGGCTGCATTCTTTTCTCTCTTAGCGCTTGCAATATTTTCCTTTTTTTTTTCTCTCACTTTCTAATAACACCTGAAGGAGGATCATATTAAGATCTCCCCTTACAGATAACCCACCCACCCTGGGAAAGGTTGGCCTCACCACCGCGGTCTACGTCCCCTACTCTTTTCGAACAGTGTTCGAAACAGTTCTTTTACGTCCCACAAGAACCAGGTAAGAGAAAGTGCTGTGTGAAGGAACCTACGGTTTTTCGTCCTTACCCGAGAAGACTAGAAAGTCTAACCGTTTGCAGGTGCGACTACAAAGGCAGCCCTTTCTTCTCAGAAAGACCCTGAGTGTTGGTCTGGCCACGGTTTGAACCCGTGTACTCCCGCTCAGCAGACTGGCGCTTTCCCAGTTGAGCTAAGGTAACTCGAAAAGGCTCGAGAAACATTCGAAAGGCTCTCACTTTTTTTTTTCTTTTTTTTTTCAGGCGCAAGAAGAGGAAGAGAAAGACAAGATGGACCTGATCCGCTTGGCTCTGGCGCGTAACCTTTCAAGAACTATCTTATAAAGCTGGCGACTCGTCGACTTAAGGCGATGAACTGCTCCTAATCATTTGCTAAAAGGTTGGAAATATAACGAAAAAATTAAAAGCCGAGAATGTTAAATACAGCTAAAACATCTCGGAAATGACCTCTCCACCTCCTTCAGAACAAAGGTGGTCGCTCGTGAGTAATCAGCGGAACACTGCAGGTTTTTAAACGTAGGTTGTCAGTGAGGCAGTTCATTCGGTCTGTTTGTGAGGACACCTTGTGGCAATAACATAACAGGATCCCGAATTGAGGAAACGGTTTGGGGGAAGTTCTTCACAAGGTCGCAAAAATGTCAGAAAGGAATTTGAACGGACTTATGGACAAATATGATAGTCGGTTATCAACTGAGAACAATCCTGAAAATTGAAACTAATTTATTGGTTTTTTTTAGGTTGAATGGATATTCTTACATAATCCGGACTATTATTCATGTACTTTGATACACCAGCCTAATCACTCGCTAGATTTCTTGGACATTTCGTCCATGAAACCACACAAGTAACTGATGTTGTGTACTGAGTAAAAAGACTATTTCGCCCATATTTTTTCTTAAGTTAATTGCCAGAATTCAGGAGACTGATAGGCAGTTCCCAGTTCTCTGGGTAGTTCCTATTGGTCAAGGAAACGCTAGGGCGAAATTTTGACCTGAGTCAAGGGAAATTGATATTTTGAGCGGAAAGGATCAAGTAAACTTGAGTCTGTAACATTGTTGATTCTTCAGGCTAAATGAATAATCTCGTAAAATCGCCAGTCATGTATGGCTGCTATTCTTGAACTTTGATGCTCTTAACTTTGCCCTTTGGACCGTCATTTTTGTTCAGGAAATTGCACAAAAGGCACTACTATCCACACCTTTTTTATGATTTGAAAGGGCCACTGACAGCCAAAGCTCACTAGTAAACCATGAGGGCAAAGCGATTATGAAAATCTCACTTTTACTCGACTTAAAACCAAAGAGACTTTACAGAGGTGATATCCAATGTATTGGGCTGTCTGTGGATAGGAGCAACGCTAGTTTATTTGGCTTTTGTCTTTATTTGCCTGACAGTTGAATTTAATATACAGAATTGATCAAATAGAGGCAGTTTGTTCTGTTCTTGATTTCCATAACATAAGAGGTCTTCAACGAATCCCGCTGTATAGTTTTGCTCGATACAACCTCGTGTTTCACTGTACCTATATAGCTCTTAGGTATCTTCAAAATAAATTACATTTATATATCTGAATTGCTTTTCTGAGGCATTTCACTTGGTACTCTCAGACTGTCAGTCAGGTAATGAACATTTCTACTTTGAAGTCGGTGAATGAAATCATTGTAAAGAAATCTACTCGGCTGAGCAGTACACTAGTCTACAGTGGCGCACGAATTTTTTCTAAGAGAAAATAAAAACGGCTACTTTTAGACAATCTTCCGTTGGCGCAAACGTTATGACTTTGACGGTAAAAAATTCGACTTTCGTGATTGTGAACGTTATTAAGCATTTTTTTTGCCCGTGTTCTTCCGGCCAATTTATTATGATACTGGTAGACCTAACCAAGAACAATACGTGTGCTTTATTCAGAGAGCAAAGTTTAAAAACATTGTACATGTGCTGCATGCGATTATGGTTTAAAGAGGAAGTTCTAACTAGCTTGAAAGTCTCCTATTGCATCTTTGACCGTTACTCAAAGAGAAGCTGTGGTGGTCCTCAAGGTAAATGATTGTAAAATATCACCATTTAATGTTGTTAGGCAATACTTTTAGCTTAAATCTTCTAACGCGTTGCTGTATACCACAAGCATGAGCAACAGAGCTTCAACCGTGAATTCAGTCTGTGCATTCAGTGCAAAGTAATCTTTTCACTCAAGTGCCCATGCAAAAACCAAAACTGAAAAACCCTCAACTTCATTATAACTGTGAAATGAATAGAAACGTGAAAGTAATGCTGAAGAGGTTTTCGGATATTATTGGTAACATCATAGGAATTCATCCACAGACTCAGAGTTACTTACTAAATAACAGCGTGTAAAAGTCCTGCTATAGAGGTTTCGTATGGTCACACCGTAGAACTGCGGCCTCTACTTACTCTAACGTGGAACTACAATTGATGATCTCTCTAATCGAGTAAAAAGGATAAGCCAACTTAGTGATAACCCCCACGGTCCTGGGTCAGTTTCCTATTGGGTCCGCATTCTCTATCTGCCTCGCATGTTTCATGTTTCATATTCCTTGATCTCAGCATTTTAATTTATAACACCAAATTTGAACGGAATATACTCAAACCATATCTTTTTTGGCGAGCCTGCGAATCTGTTAAATGTCGTATTTGAGTTCCTGCATGTCCTGTTTTCGTCCTGTACCCGGCCATCTGCCATACGGTTGTTTGAAATGCCCCCAAGTGTTTCAGCCGCTTTATAAGTAGTTCGAATTTTCCTTCCTCTTCGTTTTAAGCCTTTCCCTTTCGGCGCTTTTACCTTTTTACAACACCACGCACATAGCAGATGTTCCTGTCCAAATCGCTCACTATCAGCGAACTATAGTCACCTCCTTCAAGAAACCGTAAATTTTGGCCGGTTGATTCTTCCACTTTTACTTCGCTACAGAAGCAAACCTCAGTTGTTAGTTGGTTTCTTGACCAAAAAAAAAAAGATCAACTCCAGAAACGTTTCATTGGCATGATTTGACGAAGTAGTCAAGCAGTATCATTTCTTCATTTTATACCTCATGGCTTGCAATAAAAGATTGCGTTCATCGTGTGGGAGTTATAAGAAAAAAAATTCGTAACATTTAATACTAATTGCCCTTTCTGTAGTTATTAGGAGACATATAAATCGCTTACTTCTTTCTTATGTTTTATTCTTATTCAGTCTTATTCCTTTCTTTTTTTTTTGCTTGTCTCGCTAAAATTTTTATTGAACTTTGCCGATTATGCTCTTGTAGCCGTTTCAGAGAGCGCTTTGCCGGGCTCTTCTCCTAGTCTTTCTAAGAGTCCTTTATTTTTCTTCCTTCGTCGCTCGCTCGGTCGCTGCGCGACCTCATGCATTGAAGCTCACTCCGCTCAATTTTAACAACTTATGAGAGGTCGACTTGTAGCAAGTCTACTCCTCTCCACAAGGCAGTTCTTGTTCATCGTCTCAGAAACGCAAATGTGGAAACAAGCAACTATTAGCTTCAGCAAACGGCGCTTTCGTAAGAAAAACGAGAAAGGAAGGAAAACAACTGGCTTTGACAACCTTTTTTACGCATTTGAAAAAAAACATCTGTTAACTAGCTCTACTGAAAACAGTCCATTACTGTCTTTGTAGAATCCGTTCTTATGTTATTTTTTACACCGACTAAAACACCCTTAACGTCGAATGGGATTAGATAGAGTAAAACCGAAAGTGTGCGTTTTTAGAAGTAAACGTTTAATTTTTCTTATACACTTTTGGCCGCTTGAGAACCGTTTATCCTTGGCTTAAAAGTAATTCCACTTATGTCTTTTCTTTTGTGTTTTATTCTTTCCTTTCTTCCTGGCAATTTAAAATTTCTGTGTTTTTTTTCTGCGCATGTCAAGAGCGCTGCTTCTTTGACTTGGGGGTGTTACGTGTAATTATACCGAACTGAGTAATTATAGTACTGCAGGATCCGTGGACTCAGTAATCATAATTATGTTTTATCTTATCGGCCTTTTTACCGTGCCGATCGGGGGAAGAAGGCTTCAAGTGCCGGTCCTTGGATTTTTTTCTCGCGCCCTGCCTGTTTAAACTTTGCCGGCGCGTCAAAAGAGCAAGCTACTAAAAGCGCTTTTAAACGTGTCAGCAGTTTGTTTTAGTGGTCGCTTATCATCTTTACTTAATGAGTCTGCGGCGGTAGAGGCTTTACATCCACCTCTCTGCTTGAATACAAAAACAACAATCGGGCAATGTATGTGTTTTTTCTTTGGATTTAAAGTTCAGATTATCTTGCGCGGCCAAAACAACTATTGGTATATCAAGGGATGTAGATATAATCAAGGCGGTAAAATGGTCGCGCAGTTTGCTCCCTGCCTCCGGGCGCGTTTGATGTCTTTAATACAATGAGCGTATCGTTTGTTAATTTTATTTCAGTTATTGCCCCCTCGCTTAATTTCTCGCACCAGGCTATACAGCTTTCAAATTAGCGCCGGTGGATCGAAGGATTGTTAACAGCAATTTGTAATTATTCGAGAAAATTATCCTACTTTACCGATTGCAGCCAAGCCCTGTTTTCATGCTGTTTACCACAAGTTTGTTAGTTATCGTGTTAGCATTTCGGATTAGCAGAATTTTTGCTGCTTCACCAAAGTTTAATCTTCTCCGTCTACACCGCAGTTTATTGTTTATTCGCCATATAGTAATGCTTCAGGCATCACCCGTTAAAACTCTCCTTGGTGTAGTTTTTTTTACGTTAGACACGGGTAGTGAAATTTAGGTAACATGTGATTAAATCATGCTCAGAATTTGCCTTGAATCCACAAAAAAGCTATTTGCCGCCTAGATAATAATTTTCAGATCTTGGTCTTTTTTCAAAAGCGGCCCATGGTCTACGAAGAGAAAGCTTTCGTCGCTTGAGTAAAGTCTCGTTGCTTCTGAGAATTTAAACAATCCTTTTGGCTTGGCTTGAACAGGCATCTCGAGTCTAGCCGGACAAAACGGCCATAACCTCTCTTCCTCTTAAAATGATTTTTTATTAGCGGGTTTTATCAAGGATCATAAGCTTACCGGTGGAGCGACAACGAATTAAAAACTCATTCATCTTGACAGAAGCAACTTTACTGAATGTTCAAAGTTTCAAGCTTGAACTTAGAGTGATATACTTACAAAAATAATGAGCGTGAGTGGTCGAGCATACTCCACTTAACTCTTACTAAGATTTGCTATGTGAAAAAAGTGCGTTTTTTCTCTTTTACACAAGTGTATTAATTACTCATTTCTCAAAGCATCATGAAGTGGGCTTTCATCCTGACATTGTTTTTCTAGGGAGGGTTTAAATCTATAACCTGATATCGATCGACTGCTAGTTCGTCATTCGTCGTTCCATTTCACTTCCCTTCATAGTTTCATTTAGCTCGAAATATTTTCCTCATGTGGCTCATTTTGAGTCAGGCTTTCCGTCAGGATGGCGAATAATAGCTATTATATCGCTGATAACTTTGTCGGACCGCACATGAGCCAATCAGATTTCTTCTGGTAGTATTTCAATTACAAGGCTGACCCTGCACTGCCCCTTTCGTATTTAGATGAGTTTTATGCCCAAACTAAAACGTCTTGGAAACTAAAACAAGGAAGTTGTGTTGAGTCGGCATTGGCAAGCCACCATACGAGTTCCTTGCCAAATTGAACCTTAGAAATTATTTTCTTTTTCAAGTATAAATAATAACAATTTTTATTTATTTGCCGAAATTTTTTAGCCTGGTCTGTAAATATGCTTAAAAAGTCATTATATTGCAATAAGTCAATGTAGAGGATACCGTCTTTACCTTCTGGAATGATTAAGCTGCGGAAAAATTCTGAGTCATAAATCTTTCATACTGACCCACTGAATTTTCTCGTTTTAATACTAAGGTAGACCGAGGTAGACCTAGTATTTATTTCATGCAATCGAGGAATTGAGTAAAAGGACGTTCTCTGAAAGATAAATGTAAAGATACATGTTTCCGGCTAAATATAAAAAATTTGTATTCGATCCCAAACTTTTTTTTAACCTTGTAAGCTACTCTGCTTTATTATTATTATTATTTATTTCAAAACAATTATGCCCTGGGCGGTTTTCATTTTGCAAATGCTTTTTTTCCTTCATTTGCTAAAAATGTTATATTATTATTATTATTATTATTATTATTATTATTATTATTATTATTATTATTATTATTATTATTATTATTATTATTATTATTATTATTATTATTATAAAAACGTCTGGGATTAGCTTGTTCCCGCCTGTCTTCAATGGACGCTTTTTTGCAAGAGTAAGCGGTGTTTTATGTTTGCTGTAACAAGCTATTAATGCATACTTAGCCTTTGAAAGCCACAGTTACTCTTTTTCTATTTTGTTTATACCCTGAACTGTTTTAATGCCAAGAATCGCATTTTTTTTATCCCAAATACAAGTTTCTCTTGGCTAAACAAAGTAAAAAATAAAATATATTTTCCGCTTTTTCTCTATCCCCGTCAAAGACAATAGAGAACATGCCCCAGTATAGTTTAAATTTTCAAATTAAAACGACCGCATCTCTTAATTGGTCTCACTGAGCAGCAACAATTTGTCAAAATAAATGCTCCTTAAAGTTGTGGGGAAGCTGCGTCATGCTTCACCCACAGTTTCCATTTCCGGTGTAAAACAAGGCACTTCCGGTTAAGCGCTCGAGTGATTTCCGCAAGATTTTTCCCGTTTCTCTGCGATCGACTTAACTATCAGCCATTTTTAAAAAATTATCCTTTAACGCAGAGCGAGCTTTTGTTCAGACTATATTGCTCTTGGAAACGGGAACATTTGAGAATATAAAACTAAAAGAAAACGCCGCCGATCTGCTGACATTTTCGATTTTTTGACTCACTGGGTAATTGACACTTCGTCAATGAAAAGCGGCAAATTCAAAGGTTTTCAAAATAGCCTCTCGTTCGAACGTGCAAAAAGTGAAGGTGGCTAATTGAGGACTTATAGCTCGAAACTTTCAATTCTTGGTAACAAAAGTCGAAATTACAAGTCTGTCAGGCGCCTTGGATACGGCTAATAATTTTCCTTTCAGTTGTTTAAAATTTTAAACTTCGAGCTCTTTTATATCCGTACCGCCAGTCGGTCTTGCCACGCGAAATTAAATAGTTTGTGTTGGTAACAAAACAGACAGGAAAACTAACACATTTACTCACTGCAAATTCTGTTTCCTCGCCTCGAATACGAACTATTTTTAGAGGTAGACAAATCTTTTTTCTTTACATAAACATTACAGCGCCAAATCCAGTTGCTCTTGGCTGCGTGATCATTCGTCTGAGGAAACAATATTACAAAGCACGTCAGGTTTAAAATCAAAATACGCAGCGTGCTCATTTGAAAGTCGTTATTTAACACGGATCTTTTTTCACCGAATTTCTAAACAACGGGTTGATTCAAATACTGCATTGTGCAGCCGCATAAGTGAATTCGGCGGTCGCGCGAATCGTTCGCTCTGTACAAGACCAAAAAATACAAAAATGTTGACGCTATTTTCGAGCGATGAACGTGCTAAAACGCACGCAAAAATCGAGTGATAAGGAAACATAACTTTTTCTCATCAAAAGGACCGGCCTAACATGAAAGGCACCGCCGAGATGCTTGTGTTCCGTGAAATATTAAAATTTGTCTCCCCGCGCTGGGTTGAGGTAACTAACATCACAAAAGCTCTGTTTCGGACCATTATGGAAAAATAGGACAAGCAATTCTTAGCGGTGTTTGTCTACCTCTCCGTTACAATCAATTTTTTGCTCTTAAATTACTCTGGCAAACACTCTCTTGTGACACAAAGGGAAACCCGAAAAGACAAATAATAATTATTGCTGGCAACGTTAAGTTGAGTTCTTTCTCGGTCCTTAACCTAATTTCAGCTAAGCCGGACTCAAAAAGGAGCCGCATTCGTTGGTGAGGACGACCAGTTCAAAAAATTATTATCTTGTAGTAATACAACCAATAATGTGTTAAGTGAATTGCATAGGCCCGACACTTCATCAAATAAAAAAAAATTCATTAGCAGATATTTTGAATAAGAATGCCGGAGACGGCGAAAAGTTAAACGTGAAAAAAGTGAAGGAGAAAGCAACGTGATGTTGAGGTAGATTGAGAAAGGAATCGCACGCGCTATAAAAAGAACCCCTTCAAACGCTTTGATCGCTCCGAATTCCGTCTCGATGTAGCCATTTTGAAAAGTATGACACGAATGCTGATTAAAAATTACAAACAAATTTCCCCGCCATCCAAACAATCAGCAGAGCTCACTTGTCGAATTTGATTGACATTGATATCCCTTTAGACTTGCCGCTCTTTGCTTATCCAAGATTGGTAATGAGAGCGTTTAATTCATTTTGTGGTTTAAGACGATTCGCCGCACTAAATCCTCATTTAGCACGGAACACAATAGCTCTGAGCGAAAAAGCGACCCAATCACTAACCAAGATAGCCATAAAAGAGTCGCTTTATTCCTAGATCGGCCTCAACTCGTTTGGGGTTTTCACTACTCATTGCAAGGCAATCAGAAACGATTCAGCCAGCTGCACTTAATTACAGCCACCGTCGACATGTGTGAAGTTGCCATAAAGCACGTGCTATCACCCGGGGCACCGAAGCGCGCTTTCTGATTGGTGCGGTCTCGTGCGCCGTTGTGACGTCCTCTCCCGAGGGAATTGATCGCTTCATGCGCCGCCTTTTGCTAGCGGCTTCGTTTGAAGTAGTTTTTGCAACCTTACCGCACTTGAAAACACTTAGGACCCAAATGCGGAGCGCTTTCGAGCACTGTGAACATTTTCTCGCGCGAGAAACCTTTCAAGATCAATACGTGGAGGGCAAGATCGCCGATCGCGTGGCCTTCATTTATTTACGATTTTTCAGTAATCGCCTTCAACGCACATTTTGAGCAGTTCATCGGAGCGTCGCGAGTGATATATGTATTTGAATATTTGCTTTGAGAGCTCACCGCGGCTTACGTTTGATCTCTGCGAGGCATTCTCTTAGTGAGATCCGACGAACAACTGTAGAGCAGGTTGGTGGCTCAACTCGACTGAATGCGGACCGCAGTTCTCCGCGATTTGGAATTATGGATTTGAGGCAAACACATTCGAAAAGCTCTCGAAAGGTTTATTATGATCAGAGGGAATCACAACAGAAATCGAGTACCGCACGTGAAATGCTACTGGCCGGATCAGCGGCCGACTACCCCACAACTATGCGACCCCCTCCAACCGGCGAAGATTCGAACGACAGCGAACGCTCTAAAGGAAAGTTAGGGGTTTCCTCGAAGCCTGAATCCTTCCATTCAAGCTCTCGAATGACTCCAGGGAGATTTTCGAAGAAAGAATCGATCCCAGTGCGAGGTTTTCCAGGACTCGATTCGGACGAAGAGATGCTTGAGCGGGTAGGATTTGAGCCCGAGGGTAGCGCCGCTTCAACTCCGCAATTTGAGCGATGGCCGACAAGTTTGAGCGATATGCTTATGGATTGTCAAGGATTTAACTCTTTTTATCAATTTCTACGACAGGAGAACAAAGAAAATCTTTTAGATTTCTGGCGGGCAGCGGAATCGTTCAAGCGAATGGCACCGATTTCGTATGAACTTCGAACAACCGCCAAAGCGATTTTCCAGAAGTTTGTTTTTGCTGCGAGTTCTGACGCTTTGGAAATCAGCGATACAGTTAGAAACGAAATAGCACAGCATATCAATGATCAGTCTGTGGATTGTGGACTTTTTGAAGAGGCCTTATCAGAAATTATGGTGAACATGAAAAATAATCATTATCCTCGTTTCATGAACACAAGCCTCTACAAGGATTGTCTCCAAAGCGGCGGCGAAAGTCCTAAAGATGTAAGCTTATGTGAACGCTATCCACAGACACCTAGATTCCATTGTGGATATCTACCTACTCTTCCGGAAGAAAAAGTTTTAGGATTTGACGAGATTGAGGACGATGGAGACCAATTTGAATTTGAACAACATCGCAAAAGTGTGAAAGGATTGTCTCATTGTGGAAATAGACAGGGCTCAGATGAACACAATGCGCGGTAAGTGACTCGCTCAATTTCCACCATAACAAACTGCTTTTATAATCTTGAGCTCAATAGTCTGGCAATGTTGCCGGATTTTTACACTTGAAATATCTTATTGAGTTACTCGACAGTTAAATCTCTCTGTTTGAGTGTAGTTATCAGCAATTTATATTCAGCGTTTTCCGAATATGATTGGGCCGTTGTTCAGCAATGTTATTGCAATTTACTTGCTCTTGTTTTTGAGCGATAATCTTACCGACTTTGTAGCTAATGAAAGCATGAAGTAGAGATATTTTGTTTTGGTTTTTATGAGAGAGATTAGAGCGAAAATCGTAAGGATTACCCAATAGAAACAGATATTGCTTCTCTTGAAGTTTACGTTGGAAACTTTGTCAACTTTCGATTATGTACGGTGCCTTGTGTACAAACCCTCATACCGGTTAATTGAGACTGATGTTTAATTTCTAAAGAATTTTTATCCTTTACAACGGAAGTGTTACAATCTTAATTTAGAATGTGCACTATTTACTCTGTTTTAGTCCTTCGTTGTCAGTTATAAACCTTTTTTACTAGCTTTTCAAATGTTTCTGCGATGATATTCCAGTTGTTTGACCTGATCCCGATAAAATTAGAACTAGTGAAAACTACAAAAGTAATTGTCATTCTCTTGGAACTAAACGCATTGTTTCTGTGTTCGAAATCAATGCTTTTCTTCGTTCCGGCGAATGATCGCTCGCCGTGGGAACAACATAAGTGATCGATCAACAAACTCGGAAATAAAATTTGGCAAACTTTGTAACTAAGTGACTTTTTTTTCAATTCGGAGAGTCTTTGATACCCCCCGAAATGATTGCAAATCTGTTAAATCTATCAAGTTTTCTAGCAAAATTAAATTATGTGTAAGATGGAAACGCATCAATCTTTTGACTTCAAATGAACTGAGCATGTTTCTATCGTAAGATTGATCGCTTTGACCGGTAAAGCGTGCTGGTTGTATGTTCAGTTATTGTGTAGTTTAGTTAGAAGTACTTGTAATTTGGAGAGGGTGTGAATTCCTATGTTGCTGTTTCCAGCCGTGAGCGGACACTCGAGAAGCAAGTATCGGGTTAATGAAAACTGACGGTTCGAGGTGATTGTTACTTTCCTAAAGACTCTGTTTTGGATTTTAACAGGTTTCTTTTGATTCCGTAAGGTCACTTGTTTGGCTTCCATATTTATGAAGCATGACAAACAGTCTGAAGTGAGTGGAGATGCTAAGCAATAAAAGGCAAATTGAATCTGTGCAAACATACATTAACATTGGCTACTTAGCTTTCATCGCATAATTGCAAAAGAATTCACAAATCTGATCATAATAACTTGGCCAGATTGCAGAAGGGAATGACTGTTTTTTGCCATGCATAATCTTTTTTAAAAGAAGCTGCATTTCTTCAGATGCTCTTTTGGGTTCCGTCGAGTGTCATAATCTAAAAAGGTAATCATTGAAGATTATGCAAAAGTTTGGTTAAAGATGGAATATTGTCGATTGTTTTCAAAACCTAATGTTTTTGTACCCTTGAAAAAAGTCATTTCTTTCATTGAGGATCATTCAAGCATGACCCTGAAGTTAAGAAGGATGTTTTTGTTCCCATGGGGTCAACAAGCCAGTAGTGTGCTTGATGTATTTCTCTATTGTTCTCCACATTTTTTGCCTTATCAACTTTTAGTGTTTCCGTAAGAGCTACTCATAGCTTGAAGACATGCACACTGTTTCAATTGCTTAAAGCATGCGACTAAAATCATACGCATGTTTGTAGTGAATAAGGCTTTAAGTTATTCTGCCGAGACATAATTTTTTCGTCTGCAGCAAAGATCAAGCCTGTGCTTCTAAAAGATTCTTTAAGTTGTTTTGACACTACATTAGCATATCTATGATAAAGAAGAAATTGTAGAGCGTTTAACTTTTTTACTTCAACCTTTTAAATTTGCCAGGGTGCATTTCTTTTGGGAGAATCCAAAAATTATTAGACTATCAATCTCTTTTTTTGGATTCACTGCAGTGAAAGAAATGAACCCAAAATGGTCTCGTTAGGCTGACAGAAACATTAATGCAAACCCCATATCCTTGCGTAAAGAAATGCACAGCTTGTGAACCCTAAAAACCTAGATTTCGAGTCAGTCTAATGAAGCTTCTCAGAATCTGACTTCTTTAGATTCAGAATCCATCCAATCCGTTTCTGGATTCAAGAACCTGGATTTCGATTTGCTCATAGAATCACACCCTTTGCTTCTCCTTCAAATTATTTGGTATTTAAGTATCAAGTGAGCATGTTTTTACACTTGACCCCCCTTGTGCCCATTTTTAGAGTTGACCAGGCATCTGACCTTAAGTGAGGCTTTTAATACAATCAAAGCCTGTCAATAGGACACTGAGTGGACCATAGAAAGTGTGTGTATTAAGCGGGTCGAATTTAGAAAAAAAAAATGTAAGGGCTTTCTTTCCTCAGGGAAACTGTCCGTAACACAGTGGAACCTCGATATAATGAAGGGCCAAGGGATGGGCAAGATTTGTTCCCTACATCAAGGTTTTGTTATATATTTGCTATTACAGCGGTAAAGAAAATCGTTCGGTATATAGAGGTTCATTATATCGAGGTTCCACTGCAATGAGGTGTCCTTATTATAAGTGGGTGTCCTCAAAGTGGGATTTGACTGTATTTGAGTGTACCCAAGTAATTCAACTGTAAGTGAAAGTGACTTTCACAAATTCAAACCAGATGGTTTCTGTGTGACAGTCCTAGCTTTGACTTCACAGCTCTTGCTTCTCATGCTTGTCTTAGCTATCAGTCATTATTATTATTCATCCACCTCTTCATATTTGAATTGAACATAAAGATTGCCTTCCATCTAAAATTAACCATGCCATTGGCTGCGTATGTTGATATAACTTTGCTTAGTTACCAGGCAAATTTTGTAAGCACATGCTTGAACCAACACCAAAGTTTGTTTACATCTTTTAACTGCATCTTAAGTGTGTTTTTTACTTCATTTGTTGAAAAAAGTTAAATAAGTAATTAAAACTGTAAGAGCTGTTTTGTGACAAGTATTTTATCAAGAATGAAAGTGTTGATGTTGTGCATTTCTCGATGGCAAGAACCTTTTCTCCAACATCTCTGTTTAACTTTTTCATGATTATCAACCTGATGTCACAAGCTAGCAGTCTTAAGTTTTGGCTTATAGCCATGGAATGGCCATTTAAATGAAGCCTTCCAGCACCTCTTTTATGGCAGTTTTTTTCATTTACAAAAATATGCTTAGAAGTTTTGAGGAATATGGATTTTTATCATTGAAGGGGAAAGCGTTGAGGCTGTGCTCCCTCCCTAGACAAGGCTTGTACTTGGGGAAAATTTTGAAGTAGCGCTCAAAGTCCAGAGAGCTGATTAAATCAGGGGTCCAATATGGCAAATATTATATATTTTTTCTGAATGCAAAACAATTCCTTATGTGCCCAAGGCAACATCAATGCTTATCATGACGGGTCAAGCTCGGGAACATTTTTTCCTTGTGCGGGAAGGCCAGTTGTTCATCTGTTTCAAAAGATTTTTTAAGGTACTTCTCTTGATGCAGTTCTTGTTTTCTTATTACTATGATGTCTTTTTCTCAAAGTAGGATCCTGTTAGACTCCTTGGCAAAATTTCACATTTATTGCCCTTTTAATCACATTGTCTGTCTCTAAAACTGTTGTTTAATTTGCACCCTTAGAGGGCTAATCCATTGCAGACTTCCATTGAAGCGGCTGCTGTCACCATATCAGTATCCTACAGCTCCAGTGGGGTCTAGGATTGAATCTGAGAACCAAAGCCTCTCCAGTGATGCTATGACAGAGGATACCCTGTCAGTTACTGACAGTGCCTTGACTGAGTAAGTCAACATTATTTGACATGTACAAGCTTAATTATCAGAGGCATTGTGAGTAGCATGTTCCCAATTGAGATATGTTGGCTCAGATTGCAATGGAAGACCTTTAGCATCCACGGCATGTTTTTGGGCAGCCACTGAAAGACAGTGTGCAATACAAGGACAAAGAAGCTAGCAAGAAGAGAGAAATATGGAGAAATATCATTCACAGCACCTAGAAATGTTGGGAAAGTCTGCTTGAATGTATTTTGAGGCTGCCTCTGTGAGTTTCTAGTCCAAATGCCATTTCTCCCCTTGTCCTTCTATTTACAGTATCTAATCTATGTAATTGATAGCAACCTCGAAATGTTATACTTGGCGGAGTTAAGGGGGTTTCGCCAGCCATGGGCAGATGCTCTGTTCAGGAGCTTACTGGTCTCTTAGCCCCTGGTTTCTTCAGGTTCCACTGTTCAAAGTCAGCCATTGGCTGAATTTTTTGTGCATCCTTTAACCCTTCCCATGATCTGACTGTTGTTGCATTTTGCAGTGATACATCATCCAGATGCAGTGATGGAAGACGCAGGTGTTCTTCAAATCGCCGGACAACTGCAAGTCACCATGGTGGACTGGCATTTGCTCCATTTATTCCGGTGAGTCACCCTACATTTTAGTGCAAGAACTTGCAAGGTGATGTCAAATGTTATATTTATGGATAAGTTTGAGCAAAGAACAGAGCTTTGGAGATTATATTTTGAAGATGATGATTACACCCTTGAAAAGAAAGGATACTAGCTTTATAAAGGTTGAAATCTTTTTGTTCTTTGCCCACTGCATTGTATGCCATCCAGGAAGGTGTTTTTGTCCCATGTGACCAATTCTCTGCAAAGGCCACATTACGATAGTGGTTTGGGTCTTATGTGATGCACGATAGTTACATGCCTACAAAAAAATGCCTTTTTGTAGGACAGAGGGGCAAGGTATTAATATCATTTCTGTTTTCTCAGCGCACACAGCGTGTTCCAAAGGACGCCAGACATCCATTGGCCAGTAATCCTCCTGAATTTGCAAGAGTCTTGACAGAGAAACTAGAGCAGGTTAAACTAGAGCAAGAAATTCAAGAGAGAGAAGCCAAGAACTTGACTGCTCATGGTTCAGAGGTAGGTCATCTCGTAAGAGGCCCTGTAAGAGTTCAGCAATGCATGTGGCCTTCAAACAACGACATAAGAGGGGTAGGAAAGCGGGCAAACATCAAAGTTGAAAACAGTGGTGCTGCAGTTTATGTTGGAGGTTTATGTTGTAATTTCTCTTGAACTTTGTTTGTGGTACTCCAGTTTAAAGTTAGTACATCAAAACTGTGTTTTTAAAAGGAGAAGAGAGGCTCTTCAGTTATGGGTTTTTGCCATTGAGGGGTGCCGAAGTATTAATTTTTGTGTTTACAGTTTCCAGAGAAACTGAAACACTATGCAGGCGTTTCGTAAGTCCATAATGTCTTTAATAAAATCAATAATCCTGAAGGGCAGATACAAAATACTGTTTGATTTAGTTCGCAAACAATTTATCAGAGTCTATTATGCTCTAGTCGTTGCTTGACATTTCGATTTTTTATTCTGTCTTCTTAGATGCCCAAAAAGTCAATTCTCCAACAAGCCATTGATAATAGCAGGAAAAATCCACTTAGCACCATGGCAATGTCAGTTGTTCCTGATCCCGCAGTACCTTACAGGGACACTCACCAGAACAGTCGTGTAGACGGTGGAGTGAGGAGCTCTGCCCCTAGCACATCTGCAGCAACAGTAGCTAATGACGCTCGCAGCAAACCTACACAACATCAGCAAGTGCAAAAAGTTAAAAAACCAGCTCCAGAAACTAAGGAAACAGTTGTTGATCCAGAACCAAGCATGCCTGTCCCTACCCAGGAAGCTGATGTGTGGGAGGAGCGCCCAAGTCGGAAGGATGACGACATTCCATTCCTAACGCACAATCACCAGCGCATCATGCAGTGGATGGAGGAAGGTGAGCAAGCGCAGCAGGGTTCTCCAAAAGAATCAAGGCATCATCGTCATCACTCACCTTCCACGAGAAGTGGCTCAAAGAGTAAGCAGTCAAGTTCCATGAGGCATTCCGAGACGACGTCTCGGCATCTGCCCAGTCAGCCCATCGCTTCCGACCCTCTTATGCCTCCTCTTCCTGTGCCGCATGCATCGTCTGTTCTGGAGGAAACAAGAAGGAGGTTAATTGAGGCACAAGAGGGTGAGAAAAGAAGTAAACATCATCAAAAGCAACGGTAAAAACAAGTTTGTTCTTAAATTTATTAATTTTATATGAAAGTTGGGATCAGCGTTAATGGGAACCACCTCACAGTCAGAATAGGAAAATGTGAAAGTACCAGAAATTAGTGCAACTGAAGAATATTGGCTTTTTTCACTTGTAAATTCTCTTTACATTTATCCTTCCATTTTGAATATGAGTCGCATTACTTTCAGCTGGTGGATAATTGTCAAGAATTGACCTCCACCAAAAATAGGCGATTCCGTCATTAAAGGTTTGTGTTTGTTCCTGAACTCTACATTTGTTTGTTAAAAATAAAGTAGAAGATTCTTTTTCTTTCAAATTGTGTGGCTCTGTAACAGCGGGGGCTCTGTTGAAGTTTTTTTTTTCTACCTTCCTAAAATGTTTGAGAATTTTGTTTGTGCTCCACAAAAGTCTTCGTTATTTTAATCCTTACGATACCCTTCATTGCAGATCAAGTTTCTGACCACACATGAACTTAACATTTTTTTATCAATATATTAGGGTTTCCCTTTGAGGAAATAGAAGTTTTTTCTCAACAAGATACAAACAATTTGAATTTTTCAGTTGCAATTGGACATGCCTCGAAAGACAAACCTGCAATACACTTGTTGATCTAACCACCCACAGTTAAAACTTTGTAGACAAAACAAAACTCCAAATTGGATAATTTAAAGACTGGAATGGCTGTGATTATCTCATATTGATTGCAGTGGTCCTGATAGAGGTTTTGCAAAATTTTTCTTCTGTGGATTCTCTTTCGTTTCGTTACCTAAAGAAGGCCACTCGGTAGCCAACCATTCACTAGACCAAAAATGTTATTGTTACATTTGGTGCTTTGAACTCCCTGAATGTAGTTGACCCTCTGCTACCAGACAATTAGTGATTTTTTCGTGACATTCAATCACTACATTTTAAACCACATGTAAGTGGAAACCTTCTTCTAAGTGATATTATCTCAGCCTCAGGGGTGTCTGCTTACAGGAGAGCTGACTTTATTTTTGCCTGTTGCTGAGATATCTGCCTGTGAGAAAGCTTAATGTGAACATGGTGCAAGTTGAGATTTAAGAAAAGTGTCGCCACAAGTGTTGATTGAATAATTTCTGTTTTTCCTATCCAGGTGCCACATTGTGGGAGAGCCGGATACCTCAATACACAGAGAAAAAAATACTGCAGGATCGTGTTGTTCCACTAAAGACTATTCCAATTATGGACACATGTCTGGTGCCCCTCCTGAGAGGCATTATAAAGGTGCAGCCCCTGCTACAGGGTCATCTGCTATGTCTTCAGTGTCGCGCACTGATGCAGTGGGTAGAGACAGTGTATCTGCAAAAAAGAAGGAGAAAAATGACAAAAATGAAATCATAATCACATACTTTTTATGGGGAGAGCCTATTCCTTATAGAACAACCCTTCCTGGAAGAAGTGTTACACTGAGACAGTTTAAAGATCTGTTGCCTCCAAGAAGAGGAAGTTACAGGTGAGATGTGGGCCATAAATTGCGTATGTTGCAGTTTTTATGGAACTGCAATGACTTCATCAGTGTGAGTGGGGCTGTCACTAAGAGCTGGGTATACGATAGACTGCAAAACAGCCCAGGTTAAGAACGCACGTGTAAGCGGTCGAAGAAAAGGTTGGGAGTGAGGGTTAAAACAGAGAGTGAGACTGAGTGTGCTTTGCAGGAAAATATCATACTAGCGATATGGGCTTTCCAAACCAATTTTGAGAAGAAAACCGACTGTTTTGCAGTCTAGGTATATGAAATTAGTAGCGGGGGAATTTCTCTTGGTTCTATATGCCTTTTGTTTACTAGGGGTCATGCTCATGGTAGCCAGGGGGAAATCTCTGGCCCTAGCCCTTATTGACACCCCTGGTCGATGCGTATTGACCTAGCATAATTATGGTTAACATGGCTGGATATTGACCGAGGGGCGGAGAGCAGAGGTATCTAGCCATACTAGCTAAACAACACCGAGCCCATGCAGTTAGCTAATCAAAGTGATAGATTTTCTTCATCTTGCATATACAAAGGACACAAAAACAGCTTGTACAAATAGCTTCTGCCAAATTAACTTATCTTCCTGTCACAGGGTATAAGCAGTTTCTTTGAAGGTCATTTATTAATTCATTTTTTTGAGAAAAGCTTCCAGAAAAGTGAAGGTGAGGTTCGATGTGGTTGTTGGTTCAGCTTTTTATTTCTTTCATTTTTTTGGTTTTATTTTGTACAATAATCATTTGAGCAGAAATAAAAAATTCAACCAAAGATAACAGTGAACCTTAACATAAGCAACTAATCCCGAAATTGTATCAATAACAAAACCAAAAAGTACTTCATGATGGTTTTCACAATTTTATCAGGAAAAGACTCAAAATTCTTTCTTTTTTTACAGATTCTATTTCAAGCGATCAACAGATGACAGAGACTGTGAAGGACCGGCAGTTTACGAAGAAGTCAAGGATGACAATGCGGTTTTACCAACTTTCGACGGCAAAGTTGTCGGAAAAGAGAGTTGACTCTTGAGTTCCCAGAAATTCTTACAGTTTTTAAAGAGAAATTGTACTTTTAATACTGAATGTTTTATATTCAGAAATGATTTTTAAATATTATAAAGAATACAGGGTCTGAAATTCCCACCGGAGGGCCAGAGAATTGGCGTTACGTTTGTACATAAACTTATAATATATTTGTAAATGATATGTTAATGTTGTATAATTTTATTGTTACCGAGATTAAAATATTATTTTCAATAGAAATCAGCTCTTGTTACTATCTTTACCAACCTCATAACTACAGTCAAATCTCTCAGACGTGTCTGTCTTATAGAGAGTAAAGTAAAGGCAGTAATCGAAGGCGGGGACCAACTCTAGGTGTCCGTTAAGAGAGAGTCCACTGTTTTCCCTATAGCTTCAATCAGCCTTTTCCAGGCGTTCAAATACCGTAAATCCTCTATTAAGCCCCTCGGGGGTCATTTATTTCAAGTTCATTTGAGGGGGGGTGGGTTAATAGAGACGGGGGGGCTTATTTTAGAAAATACGATGCTATCAGTTCTCCATAAAGAATTAGAATACAAAGTGGAAAATCTTAAGTACAAGAAGGTTGGAGTTCATGTAGTCTGCCACACATGCGTTTTTAGGAGAGTTCGTCTTTCATCCCTCTCCACAAACGCTGCTCAACCGAAGACAACATTCTTTTTCCACGGATGAAAAACGACCTCCCTTAAAAACGCCTGCGTTGGAGGCTAGAGGTCATGCAGCCGAGGATCAGATTCAAATCCGAACTTCCAGTTGGTAATATAAATAAACCACCCCGGATCAGTTCACACGAAGGTTTTCAGTCGTTTGAAGGTTGAAGCGTATTAATTCATAAATACATAGCAGTTCTAATCTATCTTAACAAGAGAACAGATGCTAAAAAAAGTTATCGAGGTACAAGCTCCGAAATTCCAAAACTCTAACCTATAAGTTACCTGCTTTAAGACATGAAAAGATAAAGCTATTCTTAAACCGTCGGTTTTAAAACGTGGCATGTTAGAAGGTCGCGAGCGCCTTAATGAATAAGTAGATTCGTGCGGTGCAGGTAGTAACTTATAAAGGTGATGATTGTTGTCATTTACAGTTGTGTGAAGAAGTGACTCACATATTTCGTCTTGGTGGGTTGCTAATTCATTCAAGTTCATAATAACAAGAACCTCATGATAGCTAACACCGGGGCAGATGATGGACATTGCTCTCTTCTTTACACGTTCCGATTCTTGCATTAATTGTGATTGATTAATAAAGTTTATCGTTTATTAGTGAAGAATAATTAGGGGAGGGGGGGACTTAGTAGAGGATTTACGTTAGTGGGGACGACGGAAAGAGCAGGAAAAAAAAGGTGAGGGGTGCGGGTGGGGAGAGAGGGTGAGGAAACGCCTGTTAAACTTCGCTCCTCACTCCCTCTTCCTTTCTTCTGCTCTCTACTCGTACGGTTTAACTACGTTCACACGCTCCCGTAGTTCCTTCGAAAACCCTACCCGAATCCAGACCATAATTCAGACCAATTCACAGACCAATTCACAGTGATGGGAAGCCTTTGTGAATTAAACATATAAATAAACTTTAATTTTTCAACACCAAGGTGCGGAAAAAGAGTTACGTGTGAGTAACTAAGAGTTACGTGTGTGGTAATCTGTATGCCAGAAAATTCTCATACGTGGTTTCGGTAAAGTCTTTATGACGACCGGCGCCGCGCCGTGGCCTCGGCCTTCGGCCTAGGAGCGTGCTATTCTTAAACTGAAATAACTGTCAACCGGCTGCTTAGATTCTCTTTTTGTCTTTTAAATATTAAATTGAAAAAGATACAAATTTAAGAGAATAAAATGAAAATATTTCTCAGGTGAAGTGAAAATCATCGAAAGACAAGTTCATTTTCCAGCCATTTCGCGCTACTTTACAGAAACCGCCGAGAAGAGACTGATGCCTAGCAAGAAACAGCTGACTCACAATGAATCACGGTATAGTAAAAATATATCCAAAATGGCGGCCTGCAAGAGTGTTGTTGTACTTTGTCCAAATGCACGTCGCCAAACCATAAAAGTAAACCCTACAACCACTGTCCTTCAGGTATTGTACTGCTTACATGTGTTCCTTTAGATGCATTTTAAATAGACGGGTAAATATCGTGTTGAACTACAGAACGAAGAACATGGCGTGTTTCAGAACCGTCTAAATGTTCGCTATGCGAAACCTTTAAATTAAAAGAAGTCTTGGTAAGTTTTCTTCACATCCCCAAAAATTTAAGTTGCATTCCATTTTCGAATCTATTCATAGTAACTATCCTTGTGGAATTGTATGAGATTGCTGCTTGCATAATAAGCTTATAAAGTACAATCATATGGGGCTGTGCGGAAATCCTACTTAAATTAGAGTCTCGTGTCGGATTTCTGTTTGTTTGAAAACTGGCGTATTATGCTCATTTTAGGTGCTTGAAGAAGCGTGTAGGAAACAAGGCCTTTCGTCGGAGCAGTATGCTTTGAAGTTAGTGCACATTTGTAAATATTATTGGTGAAAATCTTAATTGAATTATTTATAACTCAGTACAGACATCATAGTCTAACATAGGACCACTTTTATTCATTTCATTTTATTTATAACTTCCATAGAGCATTAGTGTAAACATATCATACCTGTGTTTAATGAGGGCTGATTGAGGTGGGTAGCGTCCTGCCTAGATTAGCTTAATGATGTTTATTAGCTTAATAATATTTATTTCAAGTAGATTTCTAGATATTGTAATGCACTGACTGCCAAAACAAAAAAATGATTTCTAGAGCTTATGGCATTTATTCTTATTTTGGAATATTGTCATTCAGTAGAATTAGTTAATTGGTTTCTAGAAACCGAAACAGTTTCTTGTATGTATAGTTTTTTGATGAGAACATTATAGAACATTATAGAAAGAGAAAGGTATTGGTGTGTGTGGTCTTCTTACAACTGCAAACCTCGAAAGAAAATTCTCACTCTTTAGTATCTGTTGATATTTTCTCCCACCCCTTTGTGTCTCTGCTGATTACATGTCAGCGTGCAAAGAAAGTTGTGTTCGATAGCCCAGGGCTAGTGGATTTTGCTATTGGGCCAGTGGTTTTTGTTCTTAACTTGCCCGATGGGCAAGTGCTGTTTTTTGGGAAATTCAAATTACAGAAGGATTGTAATCAATCTTGCTAATCAAAAGGGTTTTGGGGCTAGTTGAAATGACTTGTGGGCTAGTACATACTAACTACAGCTTGCCCGAAGGGAAGGCTGTAAAACTGGCTTTCTTTGCAGCCTGCATGGACAGTATTTATCGGCCAAGTCTGAGTGTATTTTGTCATGGTTTTACTACTTCTTATCTAGTTATGCCATATTGGCATTTTAAAAACACAATCTTGTTATGCGTCTGATCATTTGTCATAAATACTGTTCAGTTACATAATTTATATTTACCAATTTTAATTACCAGTCTTGCTTATTCTTACTTTGACGTTGCTTTTTTCTTTTTATTCTGATTATGATTAAACAATCACTTAGTCCTCGCTCCTGCTTTGAAATGATTATTATAAATGTTGGCATGAAATTTGTGACTGAATGCTATAAATCTGATAATTTTTAATTCTTGTTTCTCACCAGAAACCAAAGAAAAATTCTTGATGATACGTTACCTATCAGGTATTCTGGTTTGTCCAACAATGCTCATTTGGAGTTAGTTACCAGCCAGAAATCTAAAAAAGGTAAGAAAATAAGTAAATAAATTGTCAGTATCATTATATGTGTGTGTTCTACCACATGTAGTTACACTCTTACAATTAAAACAAATAATAATTGAAAACAGTTACTTCTTTCCCCCATTTTGTGATGAAAGCAGCTTATTTGCAAATCAGGTTGAAGAGAAATTCGAAACTCATTTCTGGAAATGGGGACCCAGAATAATGATATTGGCACTGCTTTGCAGATTATTTTGTTACAACAAAGATGATTTTATAACTGATAAAAATATTAATGGTTATCCAGTCATTATTTTTATGTGTAGTGCATATCAACAAAGTTTAACATTCTTACCAGTACAGTCCACCTCTACTGTGGGGTTACAGCTGGAGTCAGGAGAAAGGCTTGTGAAGGAGTTTCCTTCATCATCATCTTTGTGGGATGTTCTATCTTACTGGGATTCAAATCAGGACAGGTGAGAACTCATTCCATAGTCACTGGTGTTATTATCATTCGTGTCATTATTCTTAGTAGTAGCAGTAGTAGTAGTAGTAGTAGTAGTAGTAGTAGTAGTAGTAGCTATGGTAACAGGATTGAGTCCAATTCTGTCTGTAATCATAAGAGTGATTAACAAAATCGGATGACTGTGTTGTGGGAGTCCGATTTGTTTAATCACAAGTATGATTACAGACCAAATTGGATGACACAAAGTTCTGCTACGAATTAATCATAACTTGAACAAAATTTGTGATATATGAGGCTCTTTTTTAAATCAAAACACAAGACATTCCAAGATCTTTTTCATTTTGCCAGCAGTGAAAAAAGCCATTTAAGTGTGCATGATGGTGGGTACTGTCCAATTACTTCGGCATAACGCGTACCGTCCTAACAAACTGTCCTATCAAGGCTGAAATCAGGGCAGTTTAGTTTAAGTTTAAGTTTAATAATACTTTGTCATGCTAATTAATACAAGTAAATAAATAATATTATAAAAAATACAAAAAGTGCATGACTGGAGAATAATTGGGAGAAACTAAATTCCCATACAAAGAATATTCTCCAATAATAAACATACTAAAAATTAAGAAGTAAAATTTAAGTGCGGCCCAAAACTAACCTAATAATTAAATTGCATACTTGTCACTCACGAGTTACACGTGATTTAAAATTGACACAAGTGATCCAATAGATAGGACGTAAAACTGCTTAATGAAGGTGCATGCATAATGTTCGATAGTTGATAGCCAATCAGATTTGAGAATTTTGTCACAGTTATTATTATTATTATTACTATTATTGCTATTATTATTATTATTATTATTACAGTTGAACTTCCATTAAGTGGCTCCCTTTAAGTGGCCACCCTCTATTAAGTAGCCAGTAATCAAATTCCATGAATAATTGTAGAAAAAAATGGGAAACTTTAACTCTACTTAGCGGCCACCTATAATATGCAGCCATGGCCACCTTTTGCCCACTCCAACGAGAGTTCTCCCACTGTTCTCACTCCTATTAAAGGGGCTTTACATACATAAATATACTTAACTTCAGATTTTAGAGTAGCCTAAAGGCTAGTATCTCCGTTGAATTACACATGCAACATCACAGATAAAAAACATATTAACATGAAAACACAAACTGGTAGCAATGGTAAACGTCTAATTTATGAAACTATGGGTATAAAGTAAATGTCTATATTCTTTCAGACTAGTGGTTCTCCTAAAAGAATCAGGAAGGGAGTTCCAATATCTCGCTGCAGCATATCTAACTGAGTTAAAACCATATGTAGTTGTTTTGGGTTTTGGCAAGACTAACACATTCGCACCTCTTAAGCTATAGTCAGACGTTCTAAACTGAAATAACTCTTTAAGGTATACTCAATAGTTGGTAAAGTTAATGAAAATACACAACATCATATTGCTAATTCTCTTATTTGCCAGGCTGAGTGTACCGGCCTGCTCTCGTAAACTATCATAGTCACAGTTCCAGTCCTGAAAATAAACCTCAAGATACGTTTGTTTAAGATTTCTAGTTTTTCCACATCTTGTGCGTGACAGAAATGCCAAACCATAGAATAGTAAGACAATTTGAGAAGTATGAATGCTTTATAGAGCCGTAGAAAAATCCAAGCAGAAATGAGTGCTTGATACACTTAGTTTGGCTTTATTTCAAGAATATGATGAAGGAAATACAGTCCAAGATAAAAGGTGATGACTGACTGTGGACCAGTAGTGCTGCTCCCGTCATGTGTTGGGGTCAAAATAAAGTGATATTTCTGCTGATGCTCATATTATGCCAATTTATGACGAACCTCTATTGAGGAGCCAACCTCCTTTCAACTGTATTATTATTGCCCGTTATTTTACTCAGTAAACATTGGTATTGTTAGCAGTTCTTGTCATTTATATACCCTCTATCAAGAAAATGACCTCAGTCAGAGAGCAACTTTTGCATGATGTTAGCTGCAACAAGCAGTGAACAAAGACTTATTTCTGCAACACTGGAACTCACGGTTTAATCTTGAGTCTTTCATCATCATCATCATCATCATTACTTCTGTTAGTTTTATTATAATAATAATATTGCATTCACTATAGAATTCACTCCTAATACAGACTCGAACAAGACTGAATGGGAAAGCAGTTGTTTTAACATTTATTTATCTTGTTTTGTTCTAGTCCTCATCAAGGAAAGATTTTAAACCCTGCTCATGAGGATAATAAAAATCCAGTCTGTGTTTATATGACTCAAGAGGTATGATGAGTTTTGAATACTCTAGTATCTTGAACAGGTGCTCATGCTCTAAAATGCACCCCCCCCCCCTTCAACCCCCCAGCCCCTGACCTGGAAAATTCTCACTAACATATCAAATCAGAGCTCGAAAAAAAGCTTAAATTCAAGCTTGTCCTTTGGGCAAGCAGCTTTCACATTTTGCTTGCAAAGGGCCACTACTTGCTCATCTTAATTAGTGATTTTGTCAGAGGATGACTTGCCTGGCCAAGTAAACTTTAATGTTACTTGCCCAGAAAGAAAATCTTTGTTTCCCAGATTAGCGGATGAGACTTTTTTGAGCCCTGCAAATAAGATTTGGATATTGTTTCCAAATAATTCCTTATATTTAATAAATTATTTGAGAAAATGGTTGTGATGATGATTTTTAATGTCAGTCAGTATCAGGAGAAAGCTAGTAGTTATATGCTGTTTTCTTCCAGTACCTTGGTGAGTGTCGTTATAATTTATTTTACACAGATCAAGGGAGGAAGCTCTTTGCAAAATACAACCTTACACTCCTTAGGCTTGGCTGGAAAAAGAGTTGTTATAAGGTACTTAACATAATTATGATTTTCTAGTGCTGTTCGTAACTTACCCAATGGCAACTGAAGTTTTTCTGGGGGGAATTCATATTTACAGGAGTACAATAGAACAAACCATTTAAATTCCAAAGAAATTCATGTGGATGGAAGGTTGTTTTTCAAACTCGTCCGACTGACAAAGTGAACTCATTGAAATTTATTACTATTACACTATGAATTAATAAAGCAAGTAATTAATTAACTAGTGGTGTAATCAATTAATAAGTAATGTTAATACATTAATATTATTAATCCTGCTTGTCAAAATATTTTTCAGGCTAGTTAATATGACTCTTGGTCTAGACATGCTCCAAAAAATGGAGCACCTGAGGGACAAGTTGTAAAATTACTTTTCCTAGCACCCTGGGTTTTCCACACAGCTCATGCTGGGTAGCAGGGAATTTATAGTTTCAGGGTTGGGCTCCCCAAAATATTAACTTTTTAAAGCACTGTCTTGCACATAATTTCCCCATCTCCCAAGAATGTTCATCCAGTTTGGACTTCCTTGCATCATTTGCGATAATTCAACCAACAATTACTTTGTAGGGCCTGTTTTATTATTTTTTACTACATTATTTTTTAGGCTAATTTACAGGCAGTTTGAAGAAACAGCTGAAGCAACAGAAATTCCAGAGGCAAAAGAGCTAAAAGGTTTTGGATAAAAATTTTACTTTTTTGTTTTTCTGTTAGATTCTTCACTGGTAGATGTATGTGTTTATATTCTTTAATGTTAGTGCCCTGGAAAAAATTTTCATATCAGCACAACTAACATCTTGAACCATACTGATTTGGATATAAAATGTTTTTCCTAGAAAGGAAAGGGCCAACCTCTACAAATCCAGTACCCGTGACTGATGAACAAGTTAAAGAGAAAAATACAGAAGAAAATCAGGCTGTGAACAAAACTGTTGTTACAACAGCAACATCTACGTCACAAGGCTCAAATCAAAGAACACTTAGAGAAGTACAGAGAGTTGTTAAAACAGATATTTCCTCAAAGATGCCAGCTAAAGATTCACTTACACAAGGTGAAGTAAAATTGATGTCAAACTGCCCCATGTACATGTTTCACCTTCATTTACTGCTCTCTTAAAATTCACGTTCTTTTTTTTATCACCAAAGGCATGCTGTTAGTTGTTTCAATTTAACATCCAAAAAGGGAGGTTTATCTTTCCGTCATAATTATCATGAAACAAAGAAAGACCTCCCTTGTTTTGGTTAAAACTTTACTATTGGTCTTCATTTTTCTAATGCGCCAAATGCCTCTGAGAGAGGGGGGAAAAGTCAGCGAAGACTTTGTGGTAAATGACAATTACTGCTATTCAGCTTCTGAATGTGTAAAGGTCCCTCTTCACTGTTTGCCTCCAAGACATTTTAGGCTGTCTTTTAGACTCCCTCTTGCCCAATATAATTTGATTTGCTATTCCTTAAGATGAGTCCCTCAGGTTGTGACCCATCCTTCCTAAAAAATTGCTGTCCACTGGTTTGGTATATACTGATGAGAATTTCATATTCATGAAACAGACGACCTAGTTCTAGGTCAAGTTTAACTGTCATCTAGGACATTTGCTAAAAATACATAATATTTAGAGGAGGCAGTGTGGCCAAGTGGTTAGAGCACTGGACTTGCAATTCAGAGGCCTGAGTTCAAGTCCCGCTCTGACCACTAGCTGGATTTGTTTACAGTAGTCTCAAGTTCAAATCCTCGGCCACACTTGTAAATAGCCAGCTGGTTTGGCTCCAGTCAGTTGGGATTCTTAACCATGTGAAGTTTCATTTAGATAATTTGTTTCAGACTTTTTTTTACTGGGCCCCACTATCATTAGTGCTATAAATACTGCTGAGGGTAAATAATGGATTATTATTATTATTTATTATTATTATTATTATTATTATTATTATTATTATTATTATTATTATTATTATTATTATTATTATTATCTTTATCTTTAAACAGAAGGTGTAAAGGAGCCCAAGAGAGCAAGGAGAAGCTCACCTAAATCTCCTTTTGCAGATTTCAAGGTATGCAATTTATTGTAGATAAAAAATATTAATTGCATACCTGTGTTATGTTGTTATTAGGCCATTGCAGCACAGGCCATGGGGACTACAGCATGCATGCACTTATAATGCATGCAATATGGCAGATTTACACACAAAAACAACATGCACATTTTACAAGAGCTTAATTTGCATGCAGTTTACAATGTGTAGTATCAGAAAATATCCAGACTCCCCCCACAGAAGGGATTGGAAATTCCTGGGGGGGGGGGGGGGGGGGGGGGGGGTTGGGGGGTTCTCAAAGGCCCAAAATTTAAGTAAATGTATGAATCTTGACTGGAATTTCCAGAAAGGGGGGGGTCAAAGGAAAAAGCCCTTCCATGGGGAACGTATGGATAATTTTTGGAACCACACAATGTGATTACCAAAGTGTGTCTATTCCGGCAAGACAGATTGAACACAATGTGTCTTGCTAAGTTTCTTTGCATTAATGTTTATGCCTTTAACTCTTCATTTCCAAATATATGTATCTTTTTGCCACTCTCTATGCACTTCGTATGCCTCTCATGAGTGTAATTCCCAAGGGGGCTACTCCAGATTTCAAGAGATGGGGATTATCAAAGGATTTTTGGGGTTGAAATAAATTTTTGATTCCGCGATATTTTTGGGTATTCAAAACAATCTGAGGATTCATGGTAGTGCCCGCATATGATAACTTCAGATTTTATGATAAAGAAACAAACACAAACGTTCAATGTCTAATGTTTCTAATATCATTAAATTTTAATGCCTTCTTAAACTTTTTAAGGCTCAGAAATTTGGCGTGGGATTTTTTGGAGGGTTAATTTTTAGTCTAGGGATTTTTTTGAGTTTGATGATGATGATGATGATGATGATGAACTTTATTCATGTGTCGATGTATTTAGCTGACGCTAATTGGGGACACAACATAAAGATAAATAAATAATGAATAATACTTCAAAAATCAATTAGTGTTATCTTTGGTGACTTTTTTGTTGATTCGTGTGGTCTTTATGCTGAGTTAACCAGTGATTTTATAAGAAATCAAATGATGGTTCACACTGTTTTGGCTTAAGGCATCTTCCTTGTTTTTTATTGACTGTTAGTTCCCGGAGGAGACTGCTGGAATGGACTTGATCCAGAGAGAAAAGTGAGTGAGTCATTATTGTCATGTTATTTTATCAATGCAAAAATTATCTTGAAGAAACGAAAAACAGGATAAGCCTCACAAAACTAAGATTAGGGGCCCAAATAATATTCTAAGAATACAAACTGGGAAGTACGAAAACTGCGGCATAGCTATACCTGTAGAAGACAAAACGTGCTTGGTTTGCAAACAAAACCAGATCAAAGATGAACAACACTTCTTGATGTTTTGCAATGGGTACAATTTAGGGTGACAAAGGCTATTTACTTGTATTTTATTATTAAAAGAATGTCTCTTTAGTGAATCTTTATGCCCTTGACAAAATTAAAATATTTATGAACAGCAGACAATAACAATACTTGGAAAATTATTGCCAAATATATTAATCTTATGTTCAAAAAGAGAAAAGAATTACTGAAAATGTAACTTGATAGAAAACCTCTAATTGTTTTATTTTGCATGTATCATTAGACATTATTGTTACATTAATGTAAAAGAACTTTATTGTAAACAGACCAATACCTCCTTATGGAGAGTAAGGCACAATAAAGATTTACTCTTACTGTTGCTGGTTACACTGTACCTACTACTTGATTATTATTGTTTGGTCTTTAAATACTTTATAAATCTTTTTAAGAGGCAAAAATATATAAGTCGGTTCCATTGAAGCGCAGTTTAATGTAGCAATCTCTTATAATCTTTCTTTGAAAAATCACACCTCATTCACACCTGTACTTTTATATACAGTCAAATCTCCATGTGGAAACACCTCTCAAAGTCGAAAACTCCCACAAGGGAACATCCAAATTATTTGGTTATTCACTTGTGGGAGGTTTCGGCTGTAAGTAAATATTTACATGTATAATATTTTTAACATTACCTGTAAAAAGGTTAAAAGGTTAAAGGCATGTTTATAGTGGAAGGTGCACTTAGCTAGTCAGCTAATTTACAGGCACTCCACTCAAATATTTAGAAACAAATAATTCAAATACAACATAACAGGATTAAAAACCCCAACTGGCAGAAGGCAACCAGTTGGCTATTTACAAGTGTGGCCGAGAATTTGAACTCGGGACGACCGAGCACAAATCCAGCAAGTGGCCAGAGCAGGAATCGAACCCGGGACCGCCGGATTGCGAGTCCGATGCGCTGACCACTCGGCCACACTGCCTCCTGTACTGACATAATATTTCTGAAAGAGAGAATGGATTATTCTCTCTTGATTTCTAACAATACTTAAGTACTAATATGTCTGAAATGTGCACTCACAGAAAACATTTCTCACTCAGTGTCCATCCTGGCCACTTTTCTTTCTATTTATTGTTGTTTAAATTCTCTTTCTCTTTCTCTTTCTCTTTCTCTCTTTTCCTTTTGTCAGGGCTGACTCGTCACGCAGAGAGTTTTTAGCTTCAACATGTGACAGGCAGCCTGTTGTGTTCAGTGAAGAAGACCCAGCCTCACCTAAACCTGTTGAAGGTATGTGTCAGCTTTAACCCTCTCCACTTGAATGGGTTTCAAAGGAAAAACTACTTGAAATTCTCAAACTTTATATTGTAAAATACTGGAAAACAATACTACCAGGTGAAGTCACTGCCAAAGAACTTTCATTTTATTGGTTACATCACAGGGGTTTTTTCCTCAGTCTCAAACAACCACCACTGAGGTGTGTCAACAGTGAACACGAACCTTGTACGACTTTATTTTGCCTATACATGGAAAATAATTAATAGTGAATGTAATAAATACGCGGAAATTTTGAACAACTAATGATATTAAAGCCTACAAACCAATCTGAACCATGCTTGAACTGTGATGACAAAATGTACATGCCAATTCTTATAGTAGCTTGCATGAAAATACTTATATGAAAAAATGGTCGCCCTTTGTCATTAGGTATTTAATTTTAAGGGGGTAGGGACTGTTGTATGACATAAATGAATACTTATGAAAGTAACGTAGTAGAATGTACATGTATATCCCAGCCCTCTGCTATTGAAGTATTGTTGTTACAGCATACCATGAAACATCCATTATGATGATAAAAACGTATATTATCCGTCAAATGTAACGTGTTGAAGGATATTCTTCTTGCACCCGGCTATTACAGAATCTCAAATTGCGGTCGTTTCGCGCGAAAGTCGATTCGTCCGATTTACATACAACACTCTACAACAAGATAAACCTACTTCTCCAAGATGTCATTTTAATTAACCTTGGTTTCCACATGTGCAGTCACCCTCTTTCAGTGCTTGTTCCTTTTTCTCAGGCTTAAAGAACTACAAAATATACACATTGGGCGAATCGACTTAGTCTGGCCGAACTGCCACCAGGCGAAACAACCCGATGCCTGCTAATTTGCGGCCCCGATAGTGTCCCCGATAGTTCTGGATGAGTTTCGCCTCGGTATCTGGATATTTGCGCCCTAGCTTTTACATGATCCTTATCTCACTGCAGCGCGAGGTTGAAAATTCATTCCAACCCCAGGTTAAAATTTATCCTTGTTCTCATGTAAACCCAGCCCTAGACAAAGACTTTGCATCTCTCCATTTTACTAAAATTGGGTACTGGTGACGTATTGCTGGGAAACTTGGACTAGCATCCCTCCCTAGAGCGAATTGTCACACTCCTAGGTGCTTCATGTTAAACAGGGGGGAATCTCTGGCTGTGCTGGCTTAGCTGTAAGGCTTCTTTTCCTTCTTTTTAACTTTGCAGGTGAGATTCCTGATTCGTTCTTTGAAGTTTCAGTTGATGACATCCGTGTAATGCTAAGAGATTTGAAGAATGAAAGGTACTAATAATGTGTTGTTTTATCAAACACTATTTTTTCTGTTACCGGTAATCCAGTAACTTGATTCTGGCCCCTCAGTAGGTGACTGTTTCTCATGGATTAGTAGAATCCGCCTTGAGCCATCCTAATTTAGCCATCCTGGTAATAATGTATGATTGACACACCTGGATTTAATCGACCTTGCCCTGCATACCACTTCAGCGCGGTCAAGGCTTGAGTGGATGATTTCATACAAATCACTGTATTCTGTCAACCTAAGCGTCGTGTTGGTGCCATGGTCATAATGAGAAATGCGGGAAAGAACAGCTACCTGCAGGCCAAACCATATTCAAAAGTTTGAGGTTGTAGGATTGAGAAAGGTGCCTGAACTGCATGGGGAGCAAGATAAGCACCCCCAGGGTTCCACCCTTGTCCCCGCTGCTTTTCCCTTTAAAAAAAGGGAGGGACCCCTCTCTCCGCTCCCTGGGGATAAGGTTGCCCTGATAAGTACCCAGGTATCTCCTTGACCTTTTGTTCGTATGCGTGGTCGTGACACGTAGTGGTCAGTGCAACACTGTGGTAACAATATTACTGATTGGAGGATTAAGCTGTACTGTACTGTGCTATACAAAGCTATTAGACCAGTCCCCTGGGTTCAGCGGGCGTTTCTCATCCGTAAGCTAGGAAATGAAGCAATCCTAAGCCTCGCGGACCTGTCGTACTCATGCAAAGGGGATAACTGCACACATCTGTTGAATATTAATGCCTCTTTTATTATTGTTCTCGTGTGAATAATAGAAATCAAGCAGGCAGTGCCCCTCTTATGACAAGAGCCATGCGTGAAACGCGAGAAGAAGCAGAAATGTATAAATATGACAAGGTATATTACTTTGAAACTCAAGGAATTTATAAGCAGCGATTTTCTAATACCTAGCTTGTGTAGCATGCAGAATTAGCGGGCGGGTGCTGATGTGTTTTTGGCAGCGGAGCCGCAAGAAGATCGGTAGCATGTCAAAAAGTACCCCGTGCATAACGATCCTGCCAGCTATGCAGGATATCTTACACCTACAACACAATCATAAGCACCACAATGATATGAAGAAGGCACAGTAATTGGATGGTATCTGATTCTGATGAAGTATTTTATTCTTAAGTAAGTAAGTCCTGTATTCTTCTTTGCAGGTGGTTGTGCGAGTTAAGTTTCCTGACAGACTCATTTTACAAGCGTTTTTTAGACCAATGGAAACAGGTAAATGTTTGGGCAAGAGAAATTGACCATATTGTTAAGTTATGCAGGATATGACCGTTTTCTACCCCTCCCCTACCCCCTCTTATTTTTAGCGACGTCTTCCTCGCTTTTTTCAATTGGTCATTTTTAGATTCCGAGTGAGACTGGGTCAGGATTGTGTCAATTCTGGATCATGACTGCAACACATCACCAACCCTGGCCAATACTGGCCAATACTTTGTGAACAAGAGCTAATCTCGTACCTAGGTCTCACTCTAAGGCGTGTCTATGAGGTGAGTATGTGGCAGTTTACCTCCTGGTCATAGACACTGGCTCATTGGTTCAGAAGTCAAATACCTACTCTGACTTTACATTGTCTGAAGTGCCGAAATTTGTTGTTGCTAATGATCATTTGTTCTTCAGTTTCAGCTGTCACAGAACTTGTCAAATCTCACTTACAAGATCCAAATGTAAAGTTTTATTTGTGTAAGTTTAGCCATTTGCTTTTTTTGTATGGTATTTGTATTTTAAACCATACATTAGGACGAGGTGTTGTTTATTAACTTTGAACTTCTTTTTTTCCCACAGACATCACACCACCAAAAAAAATGCTCAACAAGCCCAATGCAACTTTGTTCGAAGTGAGTGATTAGCCTTTTGATCTCTACTGCTGTATAGACCGCATTTCCTTTAAAAATCCACACATGTGCCTCCAGTCATAACCAGAGTTTTCGGTACTATGGCTTTGTAGCGGGGCGACTTTGTAACCGAACGAAACAGCAATAGGGAAGGTTATATTGATGCCTTGACCTTTTTCAATGATTTCCTCTCTCAGACATCCTGATATAACTTAAATAAAAAAAAGCACTTTATTTGAGAGTCGATGTACTTAGCATGAAAGCACTAATTGGGGACACTGTATTTTTACGTCTCCTAGTGTCGACAGGACAGCTATTTTACGTGGTCATTCGAGCCACGCGAAGGTCTAGCCATTTGCAGGGCAAAGGCAGTACCTTTGGTCCGGTCCCGGGAATTGAACTCGCGACCTCCCGTTCTGCAGTAGAGCGCTCTGCCGACTGAGCTAGTCCTGCCGCGGTTGAAAGAAATATTTTCATTTTCATTCGCACTTTTTTTTTAGAACAAATTATATCCGGCTTCAGTTATACACTTCGGATGTCAAGAAAAACGGGGTAAGAAAGTTGGTTTTGGTGTTCTGTATGTAGTACATTGGAACCTCTGTTTAGGGGACACTATACCCTTGGGACCGAGGAAAGTGTCCCCTGAATAGAGGTGTCCCCCGGATAGAGGTTGGGGGGTGTTTGTTTATAGAGACTTTAACATCCGAGGATGTGACGGCGGCGAAAACGTCGCCATAAAAATTTAACTTGCACTCTTTCAGTCTTCATCGCGACTATTCTTACCCACTTACTTTGTCAAATGTAGGTGACCCCCTCAGGAGTTGAATCCCTAAGAACCATGTCCAAGTTCAGAACGAGGAATAAAATTTCGTCGGCGCTTGTTTACGTCCTCCATAAAACGTTAAATTGGGCATTTTCACGCCGAAGTCGTGCAAAAACGGCAACGAAATATACAAAAAAGCGTGATGCACGTGCAAAATTTTCTTTATTGTTGTTTTGCTTATTAAACTCGTGGCTTTTTTTGACGTTATTAGGGCCATTTATACGAGGAAAAGTAAGACGCGTCTTAAATAAGACGCGAACTGTACCATCTATACGAGCTTGTATTATCTAAGACGAGAACAGCTCGTATAAATGGTTCGCGTCTTATTTCTGTTTTTGACTCGTTTTCATCTGAATGTTGCCCGTAGGAACGGCAATCCAACGTGGCGCGCCAAAAATTAACGCATGCGTACTATGCGTTCGCGTCTTATGTAAGACGCGAAGGTCATTTATACGAAGTTTTTCTCGTCTTAGCTAAGACGTGTCTTATCTAAGAACAGGTGTTAAGGGCTGTTCTAAAATAAGACGCGTCTTAGCTAAGCCGCGTCTTATTTTAGACGAAATGTGCCCTTTATACGGAAAGTTCGCGTCTTATTTAAGACGCGTCCTATGTAAGACGCGTCTTATTTTTCCTCGTATAAATGGCCCTACTGTTGCCGTCGCGTCGTCAGATCTTAAAGTCCTTAATAATTAACCAACAAAGTCAATGTATCATCATTGACTTATTTGTGCGACATTATATATTAAATTCACACAGGTGTAGTACATTTATTTAAGTTAGATAGTTCAGTTCATGAAAGCTGTCAGCATTGTGACTAGTGTACAACAAAAGAAATCAACCCTCATTGTGGTCAGTCATGTTTTGAATGCTTAGGTGTCCCCTTAATGGGGGTCAAACCCAAGTATTGGGACCCAGAACAAGTGCCCCTTCCTCCTGAATAGAGGTGTCCCTTCAATAGAAGTACAAATACAAAGATTATGTGGACGTTTTTCCGGGACCAAATTTTTTGTCCCCTGAAGGGAGGTGACCCTTGAATAGAGGTGTCCCAACGGAGGGGTTCCACTCTATACAAAACGCAATTCTTCACCTTTCTAGATTATCGTTATTTTTTAACTTTGGCTCTCCTTTTTTCAGAACACTTCCTAGCTAGCACATTTGTGGAAAATCCGTCGACAGTTCTGGATGCTGAGAAAATTGTTATAGAAGCTGGGTAAGAGTAGGCTTGTTCCTAGGTGTAAGTGAACAGCTGTAGCGGAATGGGACAATTAGTTGCCCTAAGGTCCCTAGCTCTGTTTGTTTGTGTGCTGAATTCTGCCTGGATCAAGTTCATAACGGTCGAAACGTTCTCCTTAGTGGTTATTATGATGACAAAAGCAACAAAAAAGTATCTTAACCTTTTCACTCCCAAAGTGGATGACGGAGTCTTGGAAGATGGTCCTAACTTTTCATTCTGAAGACAAAGGTCTAAAATGTGACCATTGATTCAAATGAAACCTCTTCAGCAGTACTTTCACATGGCACTATTTATTCAGTATGTAGTTTTAGTTTTTGAGTCTGTGGATGAAATCCTGTGGTGTTACCAGTCAAATGAAACCTCTTCAGCAGTACTTTCACATGGTACTATTTATTTAGTTTGTGGTTCTAACTTTTGAGTCTGTGGATGAAATCCTATGTTGTGACCATTCAGATGAAACCTCTTCAGCAGTACTTTCACATGGCACTATTTAGTATGTAGTTCTAACTTTTAAGTCTTTGGAGAAAATCCTATGGTGTTACGATTCAAATGAAACCTCTTTGGTAGTACTTTCACGTGATATTTTACAAGATGAAGTTTGGAAATTTTGTTGAAGATTAACTTTGGCCACGTTTGGTAGTGAAAGGGTCAATATTGTGCGCTGTTTCTGATGTGATAGCCCTTAAAACACCTTATTCTTTTTTTTTTCTTTATTTGCAGTGTATTGTCAGTTCGAGCCTCTCCCAGGCCAGATATTGGTGACTCTCTTGTCAGCTCATCTACGGTAGAGCCAGGAACATCTTTTGCCCCTGATACGTCACGTGACGAGCATAATTCTTCCTCTGGTAACAGGCCTCGTGTTGGAGGGGCCAATAAAGGACCGGTCCCCAAGTGGTTTAAAGCAACAGGTAAAGGAGTATTATTATAGTCCTTCTTTTGATAGGCCTTTTCCGAGTTGCCTCAAGCCTCTGTTTCAAAGCGAGGCTAATTGCGAAGTCTTTAATGTGAAGATGGTTTTTATTCTCATGCAAACAAAATTCATTTTCACAACAAAGGTTTGGCACTTAGCCTCGTTTTGAAAGTGAGTTTTTGGAACTCGGAAATGGCCTATTTCATTGTCACCGTCTCAAATATTCATTTGTTGGTATCCTGTGTAAACATGTCTCCCTTTGTTTGTTTTAAAGGAAAATGATACTTATGACTGCATCAAAGGGAGTGGGTTGCTTACACGATCGCTGGGCTGTTTGTACTGCCGTGAAGACCGTGGAACATTAGATCGAGCAATGCTTTGTTTTCAAATGAAAACACGAAAAAAAAACATTGTTCTTATCTTATTTAACATGATAGTCCAGGTCGAGGTTACCCTTAATTCGGATTTTTGGTGGCAACACCGGAAAACTGTAAAAGTATTTTTAATAAGATTATTTAACATGTTCAAATACAATTAATTGATAAACGAACTGAAGTCCCAGCTGTATCATATATTGGGAGAATAGTAAATAGCTAACTTTAGAGGATACTCTTTTTGGAGATAATATCTGGTATAAAACTAATTTGAAAGTATTTTGGCGTAGTTTAAGTAAAATTTATCCGAGTTTGTTCCTGACTTTTACTTAGCGGGCAGCAAGCTGTTCCAAAATGCAGTCGGCTCTCTTTAGTAGCGGATCCAGACCTTTATATAACGGGGGGGGACCCTGAGATATGGGGGGCCCCGGTCTCCAAAAAAAATTTTTCGGCCCTTCGTTCGGGCCTCAGTTTCATCTAAAAATAAGGTGGGGGGGGCGGGCCCCCTCCCCTGGATCCGCCACTGCTCTTTAATAACCAAAGGTTATGGAGTGCGGACGACAACGATCGGAAATCCAAACGCTTTTGCTCCAACGTAACCTGCGGTCATGTGTCCTTCTTCCCTTTTTGTTAAAAAAAAAAACGTCTGATCGCAGGTTAGCTCCAACCCTGTGCTTTGCGTAAGTTTCACGTGACAGAAGTCAGGTGAAAAGTCTCAATTTGTACGCTCACAATCCATATGTATAGAAGCGCAAATGATTTACCAAATTACCCCCAAAGCTTTTCTACTCGAATGAAGGTTTACCAAAGTCATTGAAGCGTGCGCTTTAGGAATACATGGGACTCGTTTGCGCGCGCAAGAAATGCAAGGAAGCTGCCATGGCAACCCAAGCTGTTTTGATTTTGAAGGTTTGTAAAAGTAGGCGCTGGCTGATAAACGAAATGAACGGTCGCCCGTGAGGATAGCATTAGACAGACATCACCTTTTTTGCCGTGATAAAAAGGAAAGATTTTTTGAGAACTGAAGCTAGAAAAAGTGTTCAACTCCTCTGCGGCAAATATTTAACGTATGCGAGCAAAGATCGTTTTTCCTTTTCTTTTGTAACAAATGAAGTCTTACCTTGAGGCCTTCCTTTTTTTGTCTTAGATCCACTGGAAAAACGTTATCTACCAGCAAAATTTCGAAATTTCCATGGTCTTGGTCTCAACAGAATTATTTTTCTTTGCGCACAAACGCACAACTCGGCCAGTTGAAGGAAAGATGGAAAGTAAATTTTTGACGTCACAATGATCCGTTATGACGCAGCCTGCGCGCGCTTATCCACGAACACCATGTCCAAATAAGGAAGTTGAATACCTACCTATTGCTTAATGATTGAAAAAAAAACTTTGCATTGTTCGTGTTGAATGTTTTCTAGCGCTCGGTGGCAAAGTGAACGCCGAAGGACACCGCTTCATTAATGTGCCTCTGTTCTGTTGTTTTTGTGCGCTCTTGCTTTTAAAGCTACAGTAAAACGGGCAACAAAAATGTGCAACATTGCTGCAAAACGAGTTCGAAAGCGATGTTATGCGTTTAACCACCCACGTTCGAGCCTGTCTTGTACCCAGGCCAGTTCGCGCTATCCGAGTTACCAGAGGAGGCTTGGAACCGAGTGCGAATTTTCCCGACAAGCTTGACAGGTGACGTCACATCCGAAATCGCCGAGGACGACTGGGCACGAGGCTGGCACGACACGTCTGCTGCAGCCGCCTAAAAAGGTTCTCACTCAAATAATTCGTCCCCATCCATGTTCAGTTACCATGGCAATTCATATGCTTTTTATTTGACGCAGGATGAGAGCTATCCGCGCTTTGAGAAACTCTGCCTTTAATCCTTGTACTAGTAAGTACCTTTATCATAACCGAAGAGAACCTTTTAAAGTTTCCCCACTCATTTTATTTCTTGTTTAAGTGTTGCTTTCATGATACACTGATTAAATTTACTAGACATTTCCTAATAATTTGTCAGTATCTTGCATTCACTTTATATGTCACTTTTCGTGTGTTAGCTGTTTAGCGGTCACACAGAACAAACACGATCAAACAACTTAATATCAAACGTCTTGGGTTAATACTATCTCATGCTAACCCTATTCAGATACTCTCATTTTAACTTTCAACTGATCACTGCCCTTCTTTTTTTTACTCATTGTACGAGTCCATTAATGGCCATTTACGCCATTCATTGCTTTTCCTTTCTGTCGCTTCCTCACACATTCTGCTATGACATCTCTGATGGTTTGTTCCCCTAGAAGCGTGTTAAATTCGTTCAAATCTGCCAAGCGATCAAACGGCTTTGGTGGGTAATGGAAGTTGAACGTGCTGTACCAGTTTTCAGGGTCTTCAAAGATGAGAAAATCACCAAAGTCTTTTTCTTCAGTGGTTTTACGAGGAACTCCTGAGAGAAAATAATCGTTGCAGTGTTAGCCTTAGAGTTTTGTTCACTTGGTTTTGACTCATTTAGACGGGAAACGAGGTGAAAAAAAAGAGCAAAAAAGGGTTTGGTTATCGCAGTAAAAGGTAATCTTGTGCCCAGATCTCTTGTCGACAAAGCCGAGAAGAGATCTGGGTACGAGGTGAAATAAAAGGTGCTGCAGTCAGTCTTCATAAGGATCCTACTCTATGAGACCTCGAACCCTCCCCCAACCCCAGTTTCTGGATTGGCGAATGCAAGTGTAGTCTGGTGCAAGTGAGAGATCGTAGGGTCGTTTGTGGACCGCAAAAGAAACGGAAATCTCTCTCATTTTCGTGCAGAAACAACACTTCTGGCCAGGAGAGGATGTCCTCTCTTGGCTTGGTATATCGAGCATGATTTCATTACAGTTGACCGCAGCCACCATCGCACCCACGCAAACGCTCCCACAATCCTTCACTCGGACCAGACTCCTCATATTTTCTAGATTGAGACATTTAGAGTGTTTGAACTCCTTTAAAACCAACCTGGACGAATTTGCTCCTTAAATTTGTTGTTGGCAAGCGCAAAATGAATCACGACCGGGCAAGTTGGATCACTGGGATCTGAGAACACGTAGAACTCTTTCAAACCGTACAAGTTGTACTGCTCATTGGCGTTGATTGGCGGGAATTTGATGTTGTTCTTCTTAGCCCATTCCTCGGCCAGTAGAAGTTCCTTAGAAAAATAGCATTTTAAAAGACAATGAAAACTAGTAGAAAATCCTCAACTTGTTAAGTATAGGCCCGGCTAGAAATGAAATCGTAACTGATTATCATTGGCCTTCCGTAGGGGAAAGAAAAAATTTATCTTGTACCCGTCTTGCTCTCCGTTTCCCTCGGCCGTGGGCGGTCTGGGTACGAGATTAAGAAGGAACAACCTTCTAATGTCATTTTACGCGAGGGGGTTAAAAAACACACTGAATGCAGGATTGTTCCTGTTGCGGAAGCTATTGAATGGTTTAAACGAATGTGTAGTGGCACAGTGTTATTCTGTGTCTTGGTAACCTTTTTGTACTGAAAAAAACGTTTACTTCGCTATAAACTACTGAAAAGTAATAAATATACTTAATTAAGTAATTCGTTAAGTATGCAATAAGCTAGAGTCAGTCATGAACATCGGGAGCAATTCTTTGGATTTTTCGTGCTATTTCATGTTGTATCCGGGCTTTAGTTGTTATTCGGGATCCTAGGTTTTGTGCCATGCCCGTGCGCATACATAGCAAAGAGTCATATAAGAATTTTGGAGCCGAAATAAAAGGTCTTCGTGTTGAGTGATCATTGTTCAGAATCCAATGTATATGCTGCCTGCTACAATGTTGACGCAGCTTCCTCCTCAGGCGCTTCGTTTTTCGCATGGCAGAGGCGAGCGCGAAGCAAGTGACTGGTGATGAACCGCAAGGGACCATGGGAAGGGTACAGACGCCCGTTGTCTCCTTCCCGCCTTCCTTTGCGCGCACAATTTCATCAAAAGAGAGACGTCTGGGTACGAGGCAGATGTTGACGGTTTATAATAATAGGCCTTACCTGAAAGGGGGTCATGTCTTCCCTTTCCCGAGCGCTAAAGTCAAAGGACAGATAAATGTCCACTTCTCGCTGCGGTCTCAACAGCAGAGGGTATGGTGAATTCATCATGAGTCCACTGTCAACCAAGAAAAGGCGCTTTGCCTTCACTGCCAGCTGGTCAGCTGTTTCAGTGACTTCTTTTGGCTCTGTGGTAAAAGTTTATTGTCTTGTGAGTCAATAAGCACTCATTGTCTGGCCCCGAGGGAAACAGTTAGGGTCCGAGGATCACGTGATAACGTGTCGCCCGGCGGAGTTAAGGAGTTTTGACTCGTGGCTCGTGACATGTTCTTTGTTCAATCGGAAAACGGGCTTAAATTGGGAGATGTAACAGTCTTTTGTACTTTTACTGACGAATTTATTGATTTGTTCATGCTCGCATTTTAGGCCTTGCGATCATCTTAAGGATTTTTCTTTTTTCTCTATTTATTGATATCAGCGTGTCGAATGGTGTGTTATTTGAATCAAACAGTTTTCTATTAACATCGCGTGTGAACATGGGTAAACAAATATACCAAGGTACGGTAAAGTATCTATATAAGACGTTGACGTACCAGAAGGGATTGGTGCAGTCATAATCTGCAGTCCACG